GAACCAAGGCACACCAGGCACCTCGAACGCCACACTGGCAGGGCCAGCCACCACCCTGGGCTCAGCCACGAATGGCTCAGGCGCCTGCATCCCCGAAGGGAAGGACGCCACCATGGACAGCCGCACTGTAGCCACCTCCTCATCCTCAGCCACAACCCCGCAGGGAGGCGGCAAGTCCTCATCGATCCCGCCGAACGAAGGGGAGGGCGGACGCCCGGCCGCCGCCAGGGCCGCACACTCCAGCTCCGAGCGATGAAGACGGCGGGAGAGAACAGATACGTGATGGCGAAGGTGGAAAACCTCCTTCCGAAGAAGAGAAGCCTCATCCACCGACGCCGAAAGGGAAGACAAGGCCGCACCGATCTTGGCCGCCCAAAGGGAAGAACCTTGCTTAAACATTGTAGCGACCGACCGTAGATGATGAACGACGGATACGAAGAACCTAAAGGCAACAAAAGTGAGGGCAAAGCCTCACGAGGTTAATAAATGTAAGAGAAGGTAAAGATTCCTTCCCAAACAAGACCTGAAATTATCGCGAGATAAAGTCAAGGACGACATGGAGGTTAGGTGAATCCTTGGAACCTAAGAAAGGATGTCCAAAGGAGATTACCAGATTGCGTAAAGAAAGAAAAATATAAAGGGGCACACCCGTTTATATACTAAGGAAATCCTCCCTGATTACCAATACAAAAGAAAGTCCTTGGCGTTGCGCACAGCCACGATTCCTCCATCTGGGTCCGCCATCTTCCGTTGCATGGCAACGCGTCCCATTAGCCTATACAAAGGAAATTCCACTATTCAACCAAGGAAACCACATCCCATATATGCAACCAAAAACCCATGCATATTCCGTCTCCATAGCCAGGTGGCCGTGACACTGAACTAGTAAGATAGGCTAGTTGTATAGGATTTTGTATAATAATCAACTGATTTTGTCTGATTACAATCTGAAACTAAGTTTTGTCATAGTTGTATTTATCTGAAGACTGAATATTGTACTTGTTGCAGACTACTTAATATCTTTGAAATCAATTATGGATGTCCTATGGCTAATGGGCTTTTTTGTAATTAGTATTAATAGTCTACTACTTTTAGATAAAATACTGAGGTCATTGACTGAGAATCTAAAACTACTCTTCCAGATACAAACTAATAATCGGTACTTAGCTAGTACTATCATGTATATTTTGTAGAATAGTATTCGCACAGCCTATAATTATCTGAAGCTATATACTTGTACTAACTGTATCAAGACTATCTAGGTACTGATGAACTATAAGTTCCTGATCTTCAGACAGCATTTTATTTGCACTCAGATATTCTTGATTTGATAGACATCCCCTCCATCATGCCTGGCTCTATTTTTCTTTTTTTTTTTGTTTTAACTCATATATTCTTTGTTAAGGTACAAGAACCTGCATGGAGCGCTAGCTATGGCAAAAACAAAACCTTAATATCAAAAACAACAAACAACAATGAAATATCTCTCCGCCAGCAATCCCCGCCTGTGAGTAATACAACCCACTGCGCCCACCAGGGCGGCTAATCACAAAAGGAAAGACAAGTCTCCTTCCGCACAAAGGAAACATAAAGCAGGGAACGTCAAAAAAACCAGGAAAGACATCAAAAAGAAATATCACTTCAATCTGAAATGGGGTTGGTGCCGGGCGACGCCCGGCCCCCGCTCATCGCGGGGGGGAAGTTGGTTCTGGTATCGGAAATGTATCGTGCGAGACCCCATAGGAGGTCCTTATCCGCCCACAGGGGAGCCTCATGGCCTAAGGAGTCTACTCCCGGGATATGGAGCAGCCTCGAGAGGGCCTTAGAGGGACAGGAGAGGACAGCATGTTGCATAGTCTCCGGCTCAAGGCCGCAGGCAGAGCAAGTGGTGGGTTTGTCTGGCTCGTTCCAGGGGGTATGGGCCGCTAGATAGCTCTTTCCAGCTCTTATTTGGTGTATTCGTCCCGCCAGAAAGCGGTCCAGCCCCATAAAAGGGTGTGGGGCTTCTGGTGGGGGGTAGAGGTAGTATAGCGGGGGGGGGACCTGTAGTGCCTAGTCCCGGAACAGAAGAGAGCGAGTGGTGGCCTTCAAGAGGGAGTACTTCTGCGAGGAGGAGAGATTATTGTCCGTCCCAGGGACCAGGTGCCTGTTCAGGCCTGGAAGGGGCCCCTTAGCAGCGACGCGGGCAAGGGAGTGTCATGCCTGGCTCTATAAGACAGGAACTTTATATTTATGTACTATTGTTAATAGTTACAAGCTAGATATTAGTACTATTTAACTTAGAAGTATAAAGTAATATAAGAACAGTTTGGATTCCTATTTTGATATTGCTATAGGAGTTACTAAGAACCAATTGACTAGAGTATATAATTGAAGGTAGTGGTAGTATTGTCGGTTGTAGTTTGAACTGAATGTTCTTGAGTAAAAAAAGATTATATTTTTGAAGAATTTATTTTATTTTCAGTCTATACTAGTACAACAAAATTCTATAGGAGAATATGATCATATTAATTGAATAAAATAAAGTTATTTTATTGGATGATATGATACTATTCTATAGAGTATGAGTGATATGATAATATTAAGCCATAAAGTAATATTAAGCTGCAAAGTAATATTGAGCTATAAAGTCAGGTTAACCTGTTCAATAATATTGAGTTATTCAAGAATGTGAAGCTGTTCAGTGAGGTTGAGATATTAGGCACTCTATAGAGTACCTCCAGTTGTAGTGCTTAATACCATAATCTCAGGATCATATAATGGGTAGTATCTAGAGGTTTAGGTAGTCTAAAGTATACTACTATGTAAGTACAAGACTAAGGTCAGAAACAGGTTCAAGGGTACAAACTAAGTATACTTGTATCAGGTTCAAGAGTTTAGGGCTAGAGCTTACTAGTTTAGAACTTATGTAGCAATAGAAAAAAAGTGGAATATCTAAGTATAGGAGTAGTGAAGAAATTACTAGACTGTTTAAGAAAGTAAAATATAAAAGAGTAGATTCCTTTATATACCAAGAATAACTCCTCTCAATCACTTAATCACTAATACAAAAGAAATACTAGTTTACTGTATAGCTGTCATACTTCTATCAGTTTCTATTGTACAAACTATTTTCAGGCTTCCAACCAACTATCTGCTACAATACAACCAATATATATAAGGAAACCTTCAAGTTATATAGCAACTATACCTCACAAGTATCCAGGTAGCTGAGATAAAGGCTCACTCTTGAGTCTCAGAGAATTTTCTTAGGTGTATATTGCTGAGGCTTTTAGTTCATAGTCTCCTGGAAGGCTGCCTGGTCAAAAGTTTTTTATACTAATTTCTTATCTCTTGACTTTTATAATCATATTAGTAAGCTATACAGTAAAAGTCTTATATAACTATAATGGTATTATGTCCTTGTAAATGCTATTGGCAGCAAACTAATAAATTCTATAGAAGTATTTTAGTTGTACAGAATACAGAAAACAGGGTGAAGTCAAAAGGTTCCTGGAAAGATTATTACTCAAGTTGCTCATTAGAATATTAGAAGTCTTGAAAGATATGGTCAAAGTTTTTCAGATTCATATCATGAAAGATTAAACTATTATAATTGTACAACTTACTCATGTCCTTAATTTGTGTGAAAATTGTAACAGCTATAATTGTGCAAGCTTTTTATGAAAACATAAGTGGGAGGAAAAGGGTGCGAGAGTATAAGAAAGGCATTGATAAGAGTTGTATGAGATGTACCAAGGTTGTATGCAGAGGCTCATGGACCCCCTCTCACTTTCTAGCTAGATAACAGGACTATCCACTAAGAAATCATGACATACCCCCCTGCATAAAAGTTGCGCCCCACTGGCAGAGGCTCCTCGATAGATTCCACAATTAGGACATCTCAACCTTACAATGTCAGCCAAAAATTCTGGTGGGCACTTCTTATACCTATAAAAGCTATTTGCCACCATATAACACTTCCACATCACAATGAAATCCTCTAACTTCAGGTCGGCCAACGTTATTGGTGATTGCGGAGGTCCTGAAGGTGACATCCCTATTGTGCCGTCTAGATCTGCAGCCGACATCACAAACCAAGTTGGTGTTGACACCAGCAAAATGTGAGTGAAACCCGACAGGCAGTGGGGAAGATGACGGGGACGATGTTATCAGGGAAAACCACGATTGTCGTCGCAGGCTTCTTAAAGGTTTTCTGCAGTTGAAGTGGACACATTAGTCACGTGAATCTGATAAGCAAACTCTGATGAACCTTCTCGTTCTAGGCCGATGAGATGAGTCACGTGACTAGTATAGAAATTGGATCAACAGTAATTGCACGGCAGGGAATCAAGCATATGTTATACCTGGATTGATAGTTCACCTCTCTTTTTTTCTGTTCCCCGCGATATCGAGTCCACTTGAATTGAGGAACAGGCGGATATTCATCCGGGCTTAGTAATAGCATGTTGGTATGCCAAGAATTGGCCTTAATACAAATTAATTACTTGGAAAGGTCAATTAACTGGCTTCTCGGAAGAAGGTAACGGTAATTAACATGCTCCTGACATTCCCTTCTGCACAACCTCGTATGTGTCCACACAACCATCCACTGCTCTCCAGGGCCACTGCAATAACGTGTCAGCCAGTCGATATGGTGCCTGTGCTTGTCTCCCCATAAGTTACTTTCGGAATTACCTCATACCATCCACCAGCCATCACTCGATGGTGTCAGTAGTGTGTCTGTTCGTAACATGCGGCACTTCTAGTATTCTCTGAACCCTAAACCCACCCTCCACTCGCCTCCCACAACATGAAAGCCCTCCACCATCATGAGATACGGATAGACGCCATAGTATTGAGAGTTACACAAGCCCCTCCCCAGCCCTACTCGTTTTCCCTGCATGCCTTCCCCTATAAGAGGGAATCCCCCCGTGAGCTCTTGTTCTTCCAATCCAGTTACCTCACACACACCTTGCATCTTGAGAAAAACACCACACTTTCCATCAACAAGAAGAAGAATGGATCCCGAGTCAGTCAGCCAACAGAGCCGGGTCGTGGGTATGCATCGGGGAGGGCCGCAGAACGCTCCAGAGCGAGCGATCTCTCGTAAACCTAAACTCGTTATGGGAATTAGCGGCGTAACATGGGCTAAGACAAAGTCTTGCCAGGTATTATCTATCCGTTCCTCCACCATGTCTGCTACTCCGTGTGAATTACTCACCTTAAGATCTAGCCCCCGGATCCTGCCTTCGACACCACCCGTCACCAAAAGATTACCCATGCGCTCTTGGTCGAGCTAGGGGCAAGCGACCTAATTCCTACCCCGGTTCCCAAAGATATCAGAAACACCAGGCAGCTATTGGAGTATGAGGATTTCGAGTCGTTGAAGCGTATCGAGCGCAACAGACTTGTGCGTTCACCCCCCCTCCTCCTTTACCGGTATCCGTACTTTACTTCCAATTCCAGGGAAAACTGACTGATCCTATCCTCGAATTATAGATTTACCCAGAGCGGCTCTCTCCGGTTGAGGAGACCCTATTCATGACTGCCCGCAAGGTTCCCCCCCCCCCCCTCCCACATACCATCTCGCAAGCATATGTGAAAACATACTAACGGTGGAATACTACAACCCAGAAAGCCATGATGCCCTCTTACATCCGCACCCGGGTAGAGAGCATGTACCGTTCAAGCGGGGGGAGCTTGAGTTCCATAGAAAACGACCCCGAGGAAGACTCTGCAGAAGAAATTGGCGTTGGTAAGGTGCGGTTGTTCCCCCTCGGCGGTGACCGCCCCGGAAAACCGCGACATAGGTTGGATTTGTGGAAGCCGAAACCTGCCTGGGAGGAATAACTGAGTGTCGAAACTTTTCTTACAAGAGTGGAGTGGAGTGGAGTGGATGGATGGATGGGCAATTCATTTTTTTTATTTTGAAAAAAAAAAAAAAAAAAAGCAACTACAACGGTGTTTGAACACATGGGGATGATTCCACGATAGTCAATTAAAATACATTCATTATCCACAATAAAATTGAAAATTTGGTAATAAGACGTTGGACTGGGAAAGCAGGCTGGACGGATGGATGGCCCAGTGAATTATTTTGTATGATACTCTGTTAATTACAGCCGAGACAGGGCCTCCCGATTCAGAGACTATGCGGGACAGGAGAACCGAAGGTATGATAGAATATCATACTAGACTGGCAACAAAAATCGCCGCTGGGGGGTGCCTCTTGCACACAAAGTAGTCATGTTCACAACAATATAATACCACATGTATTCAATCAGTAGAGTTCAACTTTACCCATACATCCAAGAGAATTCGTTGAGTGAACTTTTCTCTCCCGGTTTGTTGGAGATAAATGGAGTTTTTTCCTTTACTTTCTTTTTTTTTTTTTTTAGTAGCTTCCTGTGGTAAATTTAAAAGAGTAATAGGTGACAAGAGGAGGTCTTGGCGATTTAGTATGGGAAGAGGTGCTGTAGGTAAGAACCGTAGGCTTTACCACCACTGGTAGCGGTGATTTTTGTCATCAGCCACGAGTTATACTATTGGGAATGTCTTATCGTATCATGCACTCCGAACTTTCCCGCACTCTTTCTATACTACTGAACCACGGTCGGGATTTCCAGATTTCAATATTTCTTTTTTTGGTCAGCTTTTTTTCTTTTTTCTCCTTCCTAATGTGCTTCTCTGGCTGTCCACCTGCTCGCTTACTGGTCTGATACGAGAGGTGGGATTTCTCGGGAAAGTGCACTATACTCCGCCAAGCTGGAGAGTTCTGCTGGGGGACATCGGCAACGGGCAAGATACCAGAGAGGTATTGGTTCAATGAACCAGGATCCTAGGAACGCCTCGTTGGGAAAAGTCGAATTGATTTGAACGGACTAGGATCCTGGGAACGTCCCATCGGAGACAACTCGAAACAAAAAAAAAGCAAAAGAACTGGAAAAAAAAAACACCGGCCAGCGTTTCTTATGGATGGATGATATTCTAACAGGTTAAAATGGCAGCTAGCTAGTTACAGGTAGCAAGTAAACGTACGTCACAGAAATCTGCACTACCATCTCTGCAGCAGTACCGTAAACATCTCCCTGACACATAGATAACAATCCCTACCGTCCCATTTATTTTATGTTATTTAAAAAATAGTATCTTTCCTTCAAACTAAGTTATGCGGGAAGTACACTACAGTAAAGTACCAAACTCTAATATAATGAAAGCACGATTAACCGGGAGCATCCGGACTCATCTGAACCCATCTCTGAGCGCATATGTAGGCGGTCTTTCTTCTTCCGTGGGTGTGAGTGTGGTGCTGTCCCTAGGGCGTTTGGCGATAGTAGGACAAGAAAAAAAAAATTGGCACTCTTTGCTCCGTATCTCCTGTATTCATCGGTCCTGGGCGTTTCTTCGATTTATCACGCCTCACCAACGTGACATCTGGTGGGGGGTTTGGCGTTGGCAAGTCTTTCTGGTAGGTTGTTATTTCTCCCCCGCGCTACCCCCGCTCACCGCACGCCCTTTTTTTTTTTGCAAACACTTGACTAGCCTGAAACGCTCGTTTTTTCCGACTCACGGGACACGGCAGAGGTTCACGGTGCTCTGCTACTTGTATTGTTAGGTAGAATCTAGGTTGCATTAGGCGGGTGGCAGTCCCACGTTAGAGCGGTGGGACCTTCGGCGGTATGTAGGATATTAGCTTCTGGGAATGAGCAAGGGAAGGGAAGTGACCATGGGAACGAGAGTAAGTGATTGTCATCTAACAAGAAGAAGAGAAGCCCGACTGATCTATGCGGATTGACAATGCAAAAATACACAAAGAAATCCCACAGCACCTTTAGAGAGAGAATGTGGACAAGAAGTCAATTATTAAATTTTTTTTTTTCAAAAAAAAAAGTACAGAATTCACACTCGCCCTCTCTCTCCAAGTGCTATTTACTACTATACTCATGATACATTCTCCTGGTTAGCGCACTAACTGATTCCTGGTACTCGGCAACTGGTGAAGCCGTTCCATGGTGCGGTAGTAGGCGGGAAGGTTATCGCCGACAAGAAATGCTTGATATCCCACATGGAGTGTCCTTGGATGGCTCTGGGGTGTGCTGTTTCCGAAGCCTGGGTGGTAAAGATAGCTATTCCCCAGTCCATACACTGTTAGACCTATTTCGGGGGAGAAAAACTGATAACAAAAGAAAAGTGAAGGGATGGGGAAACATGCCAAATGTCGGTAGGCTCATTATCCTTAAACACGGACTCATCTCTCCACCAGTTCCGCTCAGGACCCGTCACGTGAATCAGCTGAAGAATCTCATTGCAAAGGTCCTCATTCCAGGTACGTCGCGGTTGAAGAAGCGGTAGAGAGCCTCTGGCAGGGCTAACTATATGATTTCCATTCTCGGGTTAGCCCTTTTCGCAGTTTTTTTTTTGGGAGGGGGAGAGGGAGGGGGGTGAGGCAGAATGTTGCTAGCACGTACTGTTGGGTATGGAAACTCTCTTGCAGCGCTTGATGGTCTTGAAGCGGCAGTCGGGCCACATTTCCGCCTGCCAGATGATGTCGTCACCGCCGCAGTCGATGGTTATGGTATATAATTCCGCGATCTCGCCAGTCTTGATGTCGAGGGGTGCAATATTGTGGGTGTGGTTCCTGCAGAGGAGGTCTGCCACCTCTTTAAGTGTGGACAGAACCTTTTCCGTAGGAATGACAAGGGCTGAGAATATTTGAGCTGCAGACATTTCGTGAATTGCTGAGGGGTATGTTGTTGTTGTTGTGGTGGTGGTAGCGTATTTGCCGTGCGGATGATCATGTAAAAGGTCAGCCTGATGAGGAAGGGGGGGGAGGGGAGAAATAGAGTCACGGCCTTCAAAATACTATGTAAATAAGAGCTGCCGAGTAATCGCCGAGTAATTGCCGAGTAATCTGGGAAAAAAGCGCAACAAGGAGTGCTAATAGTATTTTCCAAACAAAATCCGCATCTGGCGGAAGATCAAAGAATAAGCACTGTCAGGGGGAACCACCCCACTAGGCGATATCGACATCCCTTCCATGATATGAGCGAGATAGTGTTTTTTCCGAAAATGTGTTTGAAACTACATTTGGTGCCCGAAGGCGGTGGCATCAACTTATATACCAAAGTCGACAATGCAACCATGTTACTTTGACGAGTGACAGTACATGACGAGACAACCAACCTGATCGGGACTCCGTGCGAAGAGGCGCCATACCGTATTAACTTGAATAAGAGCAACACATCTCGGGATGCCTGCCTTGTCTGTATTGGGGATGGGAGAAAATACCAGCAAAGGGGAGGGAAACCTAGACATCATGAGCGGTATCGCTTTTTTTTTTTTAAGTTAATATGGTACTAGGAATATTTCTCCCAGAACACTACCATCACGGGATATCCGAAGCCGAATTTCTCCCACAGAGTATGGACCACTTTTAATCAGTACATAAATCTGCTCCAGAGTCTACAAAACGCCAATTGGGTGAACGTTTACATCACGATACTTCTCGGAGCAAAGCTTCCAAGGCGAGACATCACGGAGACATCACTAACAAACATCTATGTTGTGTATTGCGCTACCCCCGACACTCAACGCAATCTAACCTTGTTTTACTTCCTCTCCACCCATTTGTTTTGGTGCACCGGGGGAAGTGTCTTGAGGGCAGGTGAGCGCCACCACCAGATGTGTGTGGGGAAATGGGGGGGCGGCGGACGGGTGTGTGTGAGATATTGGGACTTCAACTGTGGGTTTACATTGCCATTGGAGCCGTAAGAAGAAGGCGTGGAGGCTTGGCTTTGGCCGCGATAAAGTGTTGACAACGATCCAATTAAAACAGCCTGGCAGGTTTGGTCAACAGCTCCTTTTGGTTAGCAGCATGAAGTATGATCGGGCCTGCCAATTCAATCACCGTACCCGGGAACTCTACGCTGCGAATCAAGCGGTCATGTTATGCAAGAATTCTCTGCGTACCTTTACATCAAAGGAGGAGACTCGCCTCACAAGATCCACCACCAGACAGGAAAAAAATGATAAAGATAAAAGATGCACAGAGCGGAGAGGTAACGCAATTGAAAATACACGTCCTTGCAAGAGGGTTGACAATCCCTGGGCAAACATGAGCGAACAAGTGTCCGAGGACCCTGGAGGCTGGTGTCGGACATGTTAGCCAACCAGAAAGGATAATTAGTTGAAGGATTAGCAAGTTCTGTACCTGTTTTTTTGTTTTTCTGTCTCCTCCCCGCATGAGGTTTCTACTAGCAGGCATCGGGGGAGCGAACATCATCAAGTGTGGAATCCCCAGGCACGCCCAGTCCATGCTAGTCCTCCATCTCCATATTATCCTCGCCCTCAGATTCCGTTTCCCGGTCAGTATCTGAATCTGAGTCATCACAGACCTCGTAGTGGTCATAGTCGCCCATACTAGAGATCCTACGACGCAATTCGGCCATCTTTTCGAACCATCTATCGGAGCCGGGAGGGTGATTCGCAGTCTCACCTCCTTCTGGGTTACTCTCGATTTCTTCGGATCCCACCTCCGGTTCGTCCATGTACAGTTCTTCATCAGGGTCGGGGCTTTGTCGTTCCGTCTAGCGTCAACTCCCAGGAACAGAAGGAATGAAGTGATCAAGAAACTTACCGAGTGTCAGCGGGTTGGTTATCCTTAATGACACTAGAGATCCTACGACGCCATTCGCAGATCCGTTCGAGAAGTCTATCGGAGCCGGGAGGGTGATTCGCAGTCTCATTTCCTTCAAGGTTACTCTCGATTTCTTCGGATCCCACCTCCGGTTCGTCCATGTACAGTTCTTCATCAGGGTCGGGGCTTTGTCGTTCCGTCTAGCGTCAACTCCCAGGAACAGAAGGAATGAAGTGATTAAGAAACTTACCAAGTGTCAGCGGGTTGGTTATCCTTAATCAACTTTTCATCCAACCACCATTTCTCCAAGGGGTCCGAATTGTAGATCAGCTCCACCATCTCGGTGCAGAGAGCCTCCCCCCATATCATGCGCGGTTGAAGGAACTTGGCGGGCTTTCCGACCGGGGAATCTATATTTTTACAAGCCCCGGATCAGTACGTGCGCCCGGTTGTATGTCCGAAGACTAGAGAATGAACTTACCCTCAATCAGTTTAACCATCTTGCAGCGCATGACAGTCCTCAAAACACAATTGGAATACATTTCAAGCTTCCAGCCGATATCGTTCTCGCAGCAGGGGACAGCCAGGGTATACCACGCCGCATTCACTCCCGGGGGAAGGTATGCTGCAGTGACCTGATGTTCGTGCGCTGGGCATAGCAAGTCGGCAACCTCCTTGAGAGACGCCGCGACATTATCTCTGATATCTTCAAGAACCTTTGTCGGTAACCGAAGGGGCCCTTGAGAAAGGCCGAGCCTGGAACCTCCGGGCATTTCACAACCGACCTGCATTTTGTGGCGATGCGGTGATCGAGGTGTTGGATTGAGGTGTTGATAGTTGATGAAGGGGAAGAGAAGAGTGCGGGGGGGGGGGTTTTAAGGAAGAAAGGTAGCGGTCGGGTGTCTGAATGAATTTGGAAATCTCTGTGAAGCTAGGGTCTATGGTGAAGAAGACAAGATCATCCTGAGCTACGAGGAGGGTTCGGGCTCGTAGGATTCCGGGCACACAATACTCATAATACCTCGCTCGATATTGCGGGCAGATGGAGGTCGCTTGGTGACAGGACGGCGCTAGCGTTTTGTGCAGGAACTCGAATAATTAGCGCTCACGCTAGCACGTCCGAAATTCTCTTTCAGATAGGCGGGCGAAAACACTGCAAAAGTTGACCTAGTTTCAGACAGAAATGTACCGGACCATACCAGTAAGTTAAAGGCGACTCCTCCACCTAACACGGGTGCCAATTATTCGAGTTCTTAAGATGTTGCCTCGCGCCGGCGAACAACTTGCAACTCTGACCGGCCCACGGTTCCGGGGAGTGCTAAAATGGCAAAGCACAAGTTGCAACCGGCAACAGCAGTTATACCAAGCTCACCTGGTCCATGGACAGTAGTATCTGTGGGCCGGGTTGACACAGAGGTAAAAGCGAAGAAATACCGGTATACCAGTACAAAGGCACAGGTAGGGCTTTTTCCCGGAAGACAGGTTGATTTCATAAATTCGCAGCCAATAAACTACAAGACACAGATTATTTTGCGAGTCGACTTAGATTAACCGTTCGGTAACTCCCCTACTTGTACTTGTACCAGACATACCACCATTAGGCAAGATACAAGTACCGGTAGAGTGGAGATTGGGTTAGAGCCGAAACAGAATGGGTGGCTACCGCACCAAACCACTGTTGCTCACCCAACTCCAACCGAGGAACGAAGGCGAGCATAGTTTTACCACTCAACCAAGTAAATTTAAATACACAGCATTTTTACCTAGCACCCTGTCCTGCCCATATTGGGGAACCTGTTCCACGCCCACCCAAACCCCCAAAGTGTGCATTCAATGGCCTCTCTCAACCTTCACTTGTTGCGAAAAAATAAAAACGTTGGTACCTAGGGCTATATCTGAGCTATCTTGCAGCGGTTTGCTATTTGTAAAATCCGGACCGTGTGGACAGCCATCCAAGTTCGGATTTGGGTTATTTTCAGGGGAAGGTTTTAATCGATTGCACTGTGCTGCACTCCAGTACTCCAGTAGAGCTTTGCTGCAAACCTCTAACTTTGCCCAACCGAAGATCCGGCGTGGCAACCAGACGCGCCCTTAATGTCAAACCTGGAGGGAATGGAAAAACATTTACATCAACCGAATCGCCCGGTTTTTTCTTGCCCGCTACGAGTGATGACGCAGGGAGCCTCTTGGAACGCTCGTCTATACAGATGGGGTTCTGCTGAGGGCTGGTTGAGGAACTGGCTGGTGACGGATGGTAATTTACGAAAAGAGCAAAAAAAAAATAAGGCCGCAACTTGGTACATGGTCGGACCCCACAACAAACTCACAACCCACTCGAGTACCCTCAACAACTCACCACCCACTCGAGTACCCTCGCTGGAAAACCCACTACCGCAGGCGCCCGGGCCACGCTTTCGTATGGCAATCATAACCCACCGAAACCCCTCCGAGGACTAGCGTCAGATGAACCGAATCGGTGACAGCGATTGGGCTCAAAGCAACATCCTTGGCCATTTATAAAGTATTCGGACGATTGGGGCCCAGACAGATATTAATATTGCGGAGGGTCCGAATACTTTATAGATTGGCAAGTTATACCATGTGAGTCTAATCCTGAATATTTCGGAGGCATTCAAGGAGCTACTGAGACCACCGAAGACCGCACCAGCTGGGATACCATGCATCTGGCCAGACGTAACGATACCGGGACCAAACTGACTGACCGCCCACCTTACCCACATGGCTTCAACCCCACCGGGTACGTCCGGGCTCTCTTCAAAAGTCTGTGTCGGAGAGCGGTCCGGAAAGAAAAAGAGAAGGATACGATTGCTTTGGTACAGCAGGTCTGGTGGGGGTTTCCCTGGAGTCATGCGAATTCCATCTCATCTAAGGAGAAGTGTGGGACCGACTAGGTTTTATGTACCATGTTTACCGGAATAACTGAAGATCCCGCTAAGATGTTAAAATTCCCCTTCTTGGAGTGGTGCAGGGGCATAAGGAAAAACTGACCCCCCCTACCCGGGATTGAGGGAAGTTGAAGAAGTGCTGTGCCCTACTTGTACTACCGGCCGCAAATCCACCTGTTGCTGAGAGAAGCCGAACCATCCTAGTAAGTACGGTCATCTGGGGATGAGATGAAGAGGAAACTTTGGTACCCGCCAAGAGTGGCGTCTGGTTATTGACCATTATTGGCCCCAGCCTACGTTCTCTCCCTTCTCCGATAGGTTGATAATATCATGTCTGTAGTCACACCGTCATACCATTCATCGAGATGCATACTCTTGAGAGACCCTTGCTTTTCCCAACTTTCGACCACTTCTTTCTCTATTTCTTTTGTTAAATCCCTTGGCCGCTACAACCCCCACCTGTTCTGGCTACATTTATATAAAGGCTATTACTCCTCCTACAAGACTGTAAACCATCTCTCACAACTCTAGAAATAAAAACAGCCGATAAACCCTCTTTTCTCGAAAACAGACCTTTCACAGACAAAAAAAAATGAAGCCTACCGAACAGAAACCAGTGACAAAGGAGATGGATATCTCCCAGGCAACAGAGTCCCACCACAAAGTCAAAGAGAGTGTCAGAGAAAGCGGTATACCATGGCTAATTCCTCACTCTACTCAGGTATGATAAAATAAATCCTCTTGAGTTCTTCCTCTTTGGTACCGAGTGGGACCGCTCACGGACTGTTAATTCTTTGCCATACGGCCTATAGCCTGTGGATTACTCCTTCCCTTCCCCGCGCAACAAGAAAATCGCCGACGCCCTTTTGACCTCGATGGGCAGGAGCGAGCTCATAGCTGCTCCAATACCAAAGGACATTACTGACTCTGAGGAATTGAAGCCGTTAGAGAAGATAGAGAACCTGAAACGTGCGGAGCGGAATAAGCTTGTGTGTCACTTCCTTCCTTCCTTTCCTCCTCCATGCCAAATATACTAATCCCGTCTTTGGGTAGCTTTACCCAGAGAAAGAATCGAAAGTGGACGAAACGTTATTCATGACAAACAGCAAGGTCCTCTACATGTCCCTAAAAATACAGAGGAAATACACTAACCATTAATCTATTAATTCCAGAAAGCCATAATGCCTGGTTACATCCGCACCCATATTGCGAACAAGTACCGCTCCATTAACGGGGGAGAAATTGAGCCCAGCTTGAACCAGCCGGACGAAGCGAATAGCGGAGAGCAGGAGTCTGGTGGGCCAAAGACGTTTCTTCTCGGGGGTGACCTTCGAGGAAAACCCAGACACAGATCTCGTTAGAGTAACAAAGGCGCCCTGTCAGATGAGGTGCGGGGCGGATGCATTCTGGTATTGGAGTTAGATGCTGGATGGATAGTTCTTTGGATACTTTGTTGAAAAATAAAAAAATAAAAAAAGAATATTTTTCGCGTAGGGAGATATGGTAGTAAGAAGATTCCGTGTCATAAGTGGTGGGGAGAGGATTTGGGATAGCGTGATTGATGAACGTAATATGTAGCAATCAACGATAGATGCCCAAATAAATGACAGAAGATACATACTCGAGCTTCTAGATGAAATGCTGCCATCAGTCCTCCTTAATGAAAACAGATAGCCGGTGCATCCTGCAACGAGCGGAGGAGTGATAATAGAATCACGATTATTACCCAGCTTGACGCTTGTGTGGTTCTACGGTGTCTATTCCCTATCGAGTGGATGGTTTTACAAGGCGCTCCACCCGAAGCAACCCTAACCCCGCGTGGTGAAGAACCCTTCGCGCCCCAAGAACCAAGTGAAAAAAAGTAAAAAATGAAAAAAAATGAAAGGAAAAAGAAAAAAACGTCCGGGAAAGGAGGAGAAAAGCAGACGAAGTAGCAACGGTCCACAATCCCTGTTAAGCTTCATGTCAGGCTCTGGAGAAGTTGATGTTCGCCGTATCTACAGCAAAAGGCTCTACTGGAAGCACGAATGCCGATGCCGATGCCTGTACAGAGTATCATAGAATACTTTGTGCCCCCACACAATAGTGCAGACCTACTCGTAGAATCTTCCTCCAAATCTCCTCCCATATGGTGTGGGAACTCTGTACCCTGAGCACTAAGTGAGGTATTTGAGGGCCAAAGCCAAAACTTAAAGACTTTTTAACAGCAATCCCAATCAAAAAAGTACCTCTATTACCGTAGGTGAAAGAGCAGCCTGTTAGTTTCAAACTAATAGAGAGAAAATCAAAATATCTTTTGTTTTCATAAAGTCATTGAAGTTCAAAAGGGGGCAGACCTTGGGTGAGAGAATTGAAATGTCCGGGATATTTTTGGGCATGTTTTTTTTCTGTTCCCCATAGGGCATGCAGTTAATAAAATTTTGTCAAGATATTAACCTATATTAAGGAAATTCTTAGAACCTTAATATACTATTACTAAGTCAGGATGAATGCCAACATACTCTGGCTGGAAAGCTCACACATCACCACACACCACCCCGCCATTATCCTACTGCTACACCTTTTTTTTAAACGTTGCAGTCTCCAAAATTCACAAACGCCCACAAACCACCCACTAACCACACACCCACACCTCCGCCTTTCCTAATCAGGAGTATGCATCACAAGATCCGTCCCGATCCCGAAAAATTTCCGCTCTCGGAAACTATCCACGGCCTTTGTCATCAGTAATTCGGGTTTGATTCGCTGGGGGCGCAGAGGAAGGAAAGGGAAGGAACAAAAACAAAAATAAGAAGGATCAACAAGAGGGTGGGATTCATTGCTGAGCTGTAACCTAGTGGCTTGAGAGTCATTGGCTGAACCAGAATAGTAAGCCAATTGAGTGAAGGCACAGATCATACCAGTGGCCACCACCCACCTAATCGCAACTTTGACGCTTAACGAAGATACTCGAGTACGGTACACATGTGTTGGGCGACCCGGAAAATCGCCAGAGCCAAGGTAGGGGGGGGGGCAGGGCGCGAGTCTCTGGACCCACAGCTCATTGGTAGTTTATGTTTCAACTAGGTGGCGGGAGGTGATCTGACCGGAAAGTCGACGTATAACCTACCTTGGTGGGGTACAGTATCATAGCAATTTCGCTGGCTAGCTCTTTCCAACGTTTGCAAACCGCCCTTGACGTCGTGCAACCGAGTGGAAGCTAGCACCGTTCGGGTACCACGGAAGATACGGGGGTACCGTACCGCGCCTTGTTAATTAGACATTAGGATCATCATAACGCTTTAGATAAAATCGCACTTGACGGAATATGAATTTACCATCCCCAGTGATTCACATCCGACGGGCAGCAAAACATTTGCCGGGTTCCTCACCAACACCCTATCCCCCGAACAGATTACGGCAGAACTGAAAAGAAAAAGAAAAAGAAAAAAACGCTCGCGAGGTCGAGGATTACTGGCGCCTACTGGCATTTTCCAAATTTCTCGTTGCGATTTCTTGCAGCAATTTCCGGGTGATCCTCCACCCAAGAACCCACCCAAAGCATGGCGCTTTAAGTCGAGAACAGGACAACACACGGAAATGTTTTCGGGCTCCAGGGAAACTAAAGAGTGTGACAGCGGGCTGCATCCGTTTCCCCTTTCTCGCCTTCATCCTTGAGTTCTTTCCCAAAGTTTTGTGATGGGCCAAAGGTGAGGGTTGTCTTCCTCGGTGGTGATATATAATTCGCGGGAAATGGTGTCAAAGATTTTTTGGATGTCGGGGGCAAGACATCTGAAGGTGTTACCAGTTTGGATATTTCGTGGAATTTGACTGACGGGGAATTGTGCGATGGTGGACAGTGACTATGATACCCATGCTATCGAACTCCCTGACATTGTGTCTATTTTCCATTCTCCCCCTCTATCAATGCCCCGGAAGTGCAGCTGGTAGTGATGACACATATAAGACAGTGGAGGAGGGGCAGAAAATCTTATCGTCAAGCGATCAAGTCGAAACTTCAGCCCATTTAGCTTTTATACAAAGATTAATATCTAACATAAGAGTTCCCTTACGCCAATAGACGAGTCCGGGTTCCGAATCGACCCACCCTTGCCTCACCATAAAATGTGCGGAGAAAATAACAGATTGAACTGAATGAAAAAAATAAAAATAAAATAAAATCAACCGAAAACCCTCCCCCAGAGCAAACAGGACGATAGTCCAAAGATATCAATGATAACGAACAAATATCTGAAGAGGGAGAACTTGAAATACTTTTTTAGGACATAGAATGAGTCAGCCGTCTGGTCAAGCGATAGGAAAGAAAGGAAAGCTCATAAAAGAAAAAAAAAGAAGAAAAAAAAACCTCTACCCGGATATCTGCCCAGCTTCTCGGCCATAGTGGTACTACCATATCCGAGACCCGGCTTCCTACCGAACCACCCCCGTGCTCCAGTACCGCTAGTACTTTTTCTTATCACCAGATGGTGAAGGTGGAATCACAGGGATAGGTCCGAAGTAGGCGACATAATTGTGCGACCCGTAATCCATAGATCCGGCATCGTAAGGTTTTCTTCTGTTGTTTCCGGGGGGGGGGCCGCGGTCAGCTGACTCTTACTTGCGGTCATCTCCTCCGTCCATCTGTTATCTTGTTCCATCGGGCGGTTCACGAGCAGAATTACAGGTAGAAATCCAAAAGGGAAGTGGGGGGAAATGAAAATATATATACCCATAGATCCGGCGCATATCGCTCAAGAGCGATGGATTTTTCTCCCACCATCCTTCCTTCAGGTGTCCAATGCGAAGAAGGGAAAGGATGTCATCGCACTGCTCCCCGTCCCAAGCACTGAGAGCGTCAAAGGTCATCATGCTTGGTGCTCCTTCGCCTGTTACTTTCGTTTCCACGTCAGTTTTGAGCTCTCTCCTAGGTGCCATTGTGCGACGGCATAATGGAATATTCATGTATAAACTTACAGCTCGTCGCAGAGAGAACCTTGCAGCGCCTGATCACCTTGTCACGAGTATCAGCCGACATTGCCACTTGCCAGGTAATGTTGCCCTCATGGCCACAGGCGATCATCATGTTATATCCTGTCGTCTCGCCTGTCTTGATGTAGGGAACAGTAATTTGGTGTTCGTGGCCCGGGCAGAGGAGGTTTGCAATCTCCTTAAGAAGATCTTGGACTTCCTCTAGAGAGGGAGGGGGGGTTCTGGATACCCGAGCGTCGAACATTTTAGGAAACTTGGAGCGGCGTTGCGGTGGTAAAGTGTTGTGATAGGCGGTGGGGAGAAGCAGTTCCCGCTACCTGAGATGGGGTGGGGCGAGGTGGGGTGAGGTGAAGGCAAAAAAAGTTCGGCGAGGCAGGGGACAGAGAGAAGGAAGCGGGTGATGAGGTCGCCCGGTGGAATTTACCAACCGCACAGACATAGAATCAACCAAGCAATTATATATATAAAAAATAAGAAAAAACGAAAACGAAACACCACGACCAGCTGGCGAGGGGAAACAAGTTAGGCAGGCCGTGAAACCGTAGCCACCGATTTAGTATTTGAAAAGAGAAAAAAAGGCAAAACAAAGCAAACAGAACAGATATATACCCGTACCCAAACCCTCGGGTCCATATCCACGGACTCTCACTCGGCAGTTTCAGTTAGTGTAGTGTCTAATATCAGGATAGCACTTCGTAAAGCTTATGGCAGCTGTGTTCTTTTCCAAGAAAACAAGTAACAAACATTGGCCTTTTGTTATTAAATTTTCATAGTTGTAGGGCTATAAACCTAATTAACATGATATATTATATTACAGTAAGGGCTCACATGCCGGGCCGAGATCCCTTCTTCCACAAAGCCCACCAGTCCGAGTGAAAATTCCTGAGCCAGGCTCCATAACAGTATTGTGCCATTTTTGGTTTGACATTGTCCTATGCACTTCCTTTCTTCCCCGTGCGCCTTTGTATCATACTTCTCCGTTTAAGTCATCCAGCTAGCATACTTTATAACATTCAACTCCATTTTATTTTCCTTCCCCTCCCTTTTCCCATACCCCCAAACTCCCTTTCCTACCCACTTGATTCCAGCAAACGCCTGTGAAATGCAGCTCGCCAATTCATACCGAGCTGTGAATACGGGGATAGGTTCTTGTTCAACCCCTTACCCGGCAGTAGTATTACCGGTACGGCAGTTTAAATATGATAGTCCCGGGTAGAGATTCCACGGTTCAAGTTCCTATTTGCCTTCTGAATGTATTCAAATTTTCCCCCATAGCCCTAAGGACTAATTCTTCACCCTTGTACCGAACATTCCGCACCCGGACTATCACAAGTTCAGCATCCAGAAAGTATTCCCACAGTAGTACCTTATGGGACTGGTAGTCCTTCCAGAACTACAACATGAGCTTGCGCCGAAGAATTGAGACATATAATGGTTGCCCACAGTGCTCCCAACTGCCCAGGTGTGTCTTTAGTGTAGGACGGGAGCACCACAAACTCCAGTCCGTCACTTTTGAGGTGCTCTGATGTACTAGAGGGGATCACCGACTTATCGACCGGGTATCATGGCTGAGCAGCGGATTGAATGCCAGGATGTTCTCAGAAACAAAGTGTTCCCCATAGCACCAGAATAAGAACCTCAGCATGAGGTTCCGCAAGGAAGCTAGGGTTAACACCGCTTAGTATTGTCGGCTCCGGACACACTTCTTCCAAGCATAACAATTTCTATCGCATACTCGGGCGGGCCGGATTGAAGCCGGGCACTTTGTATGGGAGTTGCCACTTTAGGTGTCCGGCTTCAATCCGGCCGCACGAGTATACCCAATGAGAAATAATACAGGGAAATTTCCGGCGATTCGGACAAGCCCAAAAAAGTCCAAACGCCAGGTGAAACCCGGAATCCGTACCGCGCCCTTGAAGGGACAAACCAGAGGTTCTGCCTGTAAGTAACTGTTGTAAAACCCAATGGCGGAATAGTAACCCCTGGCCCAGTAAATATGCGAGGAACCGCAGCACAAGTTACGCTCCGTGCTAGACGATTGATCAGTCAAACTACTCGAGGAAATTGGTACCGGCCCAACCAAACACCGGGGTATCATGCCGGTAAGCGCAGGAAGCCTCAAGGTGTAAACAGCATAGCAGAAAAGCTTGACTACCCAACTTCACGAACGCTTGCCATATCTTATTTTGAGTAGTCGGGAGTAGCAGCAAGCTGTGAAGTGTATCGCGCTTCAAGGGGAAAAGGTAAAAAAAATTAGTCGGTGTTTTTCCAAAAGCTTTCGCAATTTCCCGTCGCCCTTGCGCCCACGATGGGCCTGGATTGGCTGAATACCAGGGTATAGTTATCACCGTGAGCTCTCACATTCTCCCTAAAGGCGCCCGTAAAGATAGCAGCTGTTCACCCTTTGTAATCCGCGATAGAAGGTACGAGCACAAGAGCAGGTGATAAAAAAGGGAGAAGCTTGCACCGTGCGCAGTCCCGGTTGGTTGTTCCCTAGACTCGCATTCGATCCCACGCCGTCCCCCATAGTCCTCAGTCACCCCCCGAAGCCCCCTACGGTCCCGCTAGATACCGGAGCCTTGCGATATAGGCCCGCGGCCTGAATCAAAGACGGCCCTCCCACCCAATTACAGCCCTGTATAACCCATTGTATGCTGTCCCTTCCGGTCCGGGGGTCCTCGAAGCCACCCTGTGGGGCCTGCTGGGGAACAACGGTTTGTCAAGAAATCTGTCCAGGCTTCCCGAAGCGACTAGATCTGACCATTAACTTAAGGAATGTAAATTTTCTTCAAGCGTGAGCAAAGAACGCGTGCAAAGAAGTCACAAATAGATCAACTTATCCCCGAACCTCAATCCATCTCTTGTCATATTAAGTCAGCATCAAGTGGCGAGATTTCATCGCTATCATGCAGGTGTCATTCTAAGGAAAGCGATCCGGGATAGTAGGGTAGCCAGCGTCCAATAGCTCTCCATTGCCGAAGTACGATCTGTTGTAATTGTTTCGAGGGATGGAAGTCACGATTGGGATAAGGTATAAAAGCGTAGGAGTTTTCCAACTTAGTGAATTGAGCTAAATACGAAAGCAGTACCTTATATATCTTGAATGAGGAAACGCAAAAACAAACAAATAAAAAAACCGGCGATGTTGTTTATCCGGGTCGGAAGAACCTAATGGTTGAGAGTTAGGTCCAATGGGAAAGGGGCAATCCCCCACCGTCGGCGGAATGTAGGTATCAGTTGAAGTATACCGAGAAGGGATTCGGAGCGGAGAGAAAAGCGGAGAGAAAAGCGGAGAAGGAAAAAGAAAACATAAATCATCACTCGGTGGTGAATAACAATAGGAAAGATCTCCGTTTCGACATTAATTTTATCGTCTCTTAGACAACCCGCCTGGAGTTACCAGCCAGAGTACCGTGCCGGCACTGTCAGGTGTGCGAGTGGAGTAATGGCGAGGTGCCCGGACATTCGTAGTGATATAGCGCTATTTATCTGCCATGAATTCCTAGACATTGTGTATAGAATGTTTGGATTCAAAGGGGCTTCCGGATACTCTATAGAACGGAGGAATGGATGTGAAACACCAAGATAGAGAGCGAGCGCTGAGCCTGGGTTTCCCGCCCCACTTTCCCTGCCCTCCCCCCCCTTGCTTCCCCACACGATCAGATTGAAGAAGAGGGTTTTCTATTTGAGATACCCATAAGCATTATCTTTGTTGCAGACATTCAATACGGTCTGATTTATCGTTGGGGTCGGAAGTGGTCACACCTTTCTATTAATAACGGTCTTTCAACTTTGCAGGGTACCGGCTATTGCTCAACTATGTTTATGACCGAGTTGGAACCTGCTAGGCACGCACCGGAGTCAACCAAAGGCAACTGGAGAGATCAATTGGAGGTTTTTTTGGTTTTTTTCAAACTGCACATAAAAACTCAGAAGCCGCGGGGAATATTCACAACTTCTCACTCGATGTCTGTTCAGCTAGAAAGCGGGATGGGGCAAGAGGCACCAGCAAAACACACCGCGGACCGAATTCTTCCCTAGAGCAGGGCTAAGTTAATTGCGCTAGGCGAAGATCCGTGAGACATTGCGATAGGATAATATCCGGATGGCATCGCTAAACCACGATAGGTGAAATGTAAGGTTCTCTTCCGGGGAGGGGCCCAGGAGGGCAAATCTGTCCACCGTCACCGCATTCACAGTATCACACCAGATTCATCGAGACCCGACTCAGCCCTAACCACCCTTCCTGATATTCACCCCCTTGCCGAAATTCCACCCTTGGACTTAGGTTGTGCCTTACCATGCTGACATAAATTCTATTGTATATCATACCCGTCAGAAATCCAACATAATACTGTTATCGACTGATTATTAACCTGGGAAGTCTCTTGTAAACATGCTCCGATAGACCCGATACTCACAGAAAATCACGCGAAACCCTTATATTCTCACAATGATAGTATTCTTACGTCGACACTGCGTATCACTTTGACACCCGGTTTATTATGGTCATAGTGGAAACAAAACTGTGGCCACACCTACCTCCTTGAACCCCTTCCGGATTTAAATAAGCCCCACCCCGAGAAAAACAAACTAAGGCCCACGCCCGACCGCCATACCGGAAAGAAAGGAAGAAAAAAAATACAAAGAGAATTACCACCAGCGGTTCGAAAACCCCCCACGATCCGGCCCTCTAGTTCTCGCTATGTCTTGCCGTCAAATCATCCAGAGAGTCCTTTCCACCCTCCGCGTACGCCGCCCCGTCCCCAAGGGATCCCGGAAGCCCGGAGAAGGGGACCAATACAATTGGGAGTCCGATTGCGAGAGCCTGGGGGAAGGTCAGCGGAGACCCACTGCCGAGGAAAGCAGGGCTTGTATGGTCAGCCTGCAGAATTTCTGCCTACCCTGCAAACTGTGTGATCGCAAGCAGTTGGATAAGCCTATGACGGAGAGGAGATGTTGCTGTGAAATTCCTTAGGTGAGAGCCGCCTGGCGCTTGGCAATCACAGAGAAGCGAGTTTTTACTGATTAGCTTTTTTTGAAGCGCCTTCCTTGGATTACCGGTACCGTGCTTTGCGGATTGAGTTAGAGGTGACAGGTGAAAGGGGAAAGGGAAGGTGAAGGTGAACTCACTCCTTCGATACCCACAACTTGGCCCATAATGCAGGGTCTTTATTTTAGTTTCGGAGCCGGCCAGACTTGTAAAAAAATAAATAAAAAAATTCTTTTTTGTTTCCCCCTTTCCACCCCTCATACCAGCCGTATCCAATTTTTCCACAAACCATAGTAAGCTTTGCCAGGTGTTAGTGAGATATTCAGTGAATTGTGCAGGGCATCCAGACTATACCAGAGCCAGAAGCAGTGTTCCCAACTGTCCAGGGGCCCCACGGGGGGGGGGACTGCCACGAGCCCTGGACGGAGCGGAACGGCCATGCGCAGTCCATCCGGTCCTGCCCCAAAGACGGACGGACTGGACGGTTGGGAACACTGGCTCCAGAAGCGTACGCCAGGCAACAAGCATCATACCGTCGTGTTTCTCAATCCTTGCTCCCAAGGTCTTAAACTCGGTGTGGATCTTACCCTCGAGTTTCTCGACTATACTCCCCAACCTCATCAGGGCTTTATTCATACCCCCCAGCGCAGCAACACCCTGACATGTTTTAGTAAAGGCTACCAAATACTCTATAGTCTATCGTTTTGGAGTGAAGCTTACCTTCTCAATTGTGGAAAAGCGATTTGTATATTGGATGTGGTGATCCGAAAACCTTTCCCACGTAGCGTAACTCCCGTTGCCAGAGGACTGATCTTCAGATAGTAGAAGTAATTCAGTATTGATTGATTAATATTGATATCTTACCTCGGAAGTAGCATGAAACCTTTTGTGAAATACCCCCCCATGCGTAGACGAGTGGTGATGAGGAGAATATTGCGTGCGAGGACGGTACCGGTATTAAACTCTATAATATTATTATCATTATTAAATGGGGGTCTTCAAAACAGCCAGGACAGTTGGAATGGAAGACCCTAAAGAGGATAAGGTCAAAAGCCCTAAAAATGATAGCCACTAATATTAGAAGAGCAAAATATTCTCTCGACCTAGGGCAAGATAAGGTACGATTTAAGGAAACAAAGAACAATAGTATAATTAGAAGATTCCCTCTCTGATAATCATGAGACTGTGTGGTACACACAGGTGAATACTGGTTCACTATGATTCACCGAAAGGATGTTTGTGGGAATTGATTCAATGATTTATCAAAAAGAAAAAAGATGGTTGTGGGGTTTTATATATGCAAGGGTAGGGACAGGGTAACTGGAGCAGGCATGGATAGAAACCGACCCTGCCAAACAGGGTCTTAAGACAACGCGAGGGCTCAGGGTATGATAGGACACCGCCAGGGCGGAGGAAGCCTCCGGGAAAGGTCTGCTCAACCATCCGAGCACCCTCAACTCTAACAAGCCTCACCCCCCCCTCCCGGTGCCTCCATTGACTTTGTGCCGCCACCGGTACCGTATACCACTCGCGTCTGGATCAACGGCAAAGTCATCGCTGTTTGACCTGAGTTGACGAGAGGATATCACCGTGTAATTGACGGATAGGCTAAGCATCCTTGAAGTCGCCGTAGCAGCCGCGTTGCGCAATAAACTAGGACCAAGGGGAAGGCCAGAGGCTGGTGGGGTCCCTGAGGTATGATACGAGCCTGGTGTTGGGAGTCATGGGCAGACTGGGGTTCTACGCCGGGAATGGGCAACTTTACATCTGGAAATCTCATCCCAATTGCTTTAGTAAATAAGAGGAAGAGGATTCGATATCACAAATCTTTCGAAATAATATGGAATTTGTTCCGGTAAAAATCAACCACTATCGATAGACTTTGAGAGAAACATTGAAAGCCTTTGGAATGAACAAAAAAGGTGCCTCAAATCACACCAGTTTTCTGTGGTAAGGGTACAGTACTGTTCTGCGCCATACGTTGCAATATCGTGAAAACTGTTATGTCGTTGGAGCTGCCCCCTCCGGTAAGGTGTAGTGTTTTGGTGTCTCTCTGAGGGGCTGGGCGGGTTATTTTTTGTAGTGTTGTTCGCCCCTTTTCCGTAGGAGGGAATTCTCGACTACATAGCACCCTGCTCAATTATTCCGGTTTTTACGGTATCTCATGGATCCAGAGCTATTAGCGACAAAAATCGCACAATTCCCACCAAGATAAGCCATGTAATTATAAAGCACAGTGTGCTGCTTCAATTAATGATATCCTGTTGTTGGATGAGTTGGAAGTCCTTGAAGCCATGTATTTTTGGTGCAAACCTCCAAGTTACCAGTTAATCAAAGCTGGTTCGATGCCGGTATCGTGCAAAGGGTGAGAGGTGGGGCGTTAGACCGTTAGTTTACCGGTTAGTGGTGAAACTATCATGCTCTCCGGCCTTACAAGAGGGCCCCATGGGGCAAACCCCTGTAAACCTGTTCCTCTCTCCTCTGCTTCTCACCCACTTGAGCATGCACGGAAGGTTGAGAGAATAAATAGACCATCGAGATTCTATCACTCCCCAAACCTTAGCTTGATCAATTCTCACAGTACGTAAGTCAAGTTCGGAGTGATATCGAGTGATATTCCAAGAAACAAGCTACCGGTAAAGTTAGCCCTTAACCCTTGCGTAACACCCCACTAGCGCGGGGAAACCGTTGAGCCACTCTTTTTAAAAGGAAATCTTCAGATTCGCAAAACACACAGAACACCATCCATCCGCAATCGCATCAGAATGGGTTTCCCCCTTTTATCCAGGCGTACATGTACCCGCTGCCTCACCCTTACCCGTACACTCGCAACTAGCCACCCACCAAGGCTTTTTCCACCAGGACACATCGCTTTTGCCATCGAGTAAGTTTCGCTTTTCGCTCCCACCATCAATTGCTCTTATCCATGAAGAAAAAAATAAGTCCAATTTTTCTAACGATGTCTGTAGCATAGACGGCGTTCTCCTCCGTGGGCCAGAACCTCACCCCTCGGCCAAAAGGGCGCTCGCGAAATTACAAGAGAACGACATTCCCTTCATCCTCCTGACCAATGGGGGTGGTATCTCTGAAGCAGCCAGATGCGAGGACCTATCTTCAAAGCTGGATTTCCCAATCGCCCCTTCCCAGCTCATCCAATCCCACACACCAGTCAAGGGCTTCGCAGAGGTCTACGAAACAGTTCTTGTTGTCGGCGGGGAAGGCGAGAATTGCCGCAAGGTAGCCGAGGAGTATGGCTTCAAGAACGTCTTCATCCCGGAGGACTTCTACGCTACGGACCCGGGTATATCCCCCTTCAGTACCTCGCTGCCCCCAGAGTACGCGCGGAATGTACCGAGGGGGACGAAAATCGACGCCATCTTCGTATTCAACGACCCGCGGGACTGGGCGCTGAACGCACAACTCGTAATCGATCTGATCCGTTCTGATAACGGCGTTTACGGCACGCTCGCGGAGCCTCAGGCCAAGGAACATATTCCGACGTACTTCACAAATACTGACCTCGTCTGGGCGAGCCAGTATCACATTCCTAGGCTTGGGCAGGGCGCGTTCAAGTTTGTGGTTGAGGCTCTCGCCCACCGCTTCCCGATGCCGGTCGGGGGGCCGCGCCTCCGGCCTATTGGGAAACCATCTTCCCACACCTTTAGGTATGCGCAGAAGTTGTTGACAGAGGCTCTCGTCGCAAAACTCAAGGAGAAGTCTCCGGAATTGGAATTCAACGAGGTCACTCATGGGCTCGCTTCTGCAGACGCTTTGGCAGACGCCGCCGCTGCTGAAGTAGCCACTTCTCCGCCCCCGGCAGACCATATCTCGGAAACCACTTCCGAAGAAGAATCCAGCCCAAATACAGAAGTCGAGGCCGCCGCTGCTCAAGTAGCCACTTCTCCGCCCCCGGCAGACCCTACCTCGGAAACCACTCCCGAAGAAGAATCCAGCCCAAATACGGAAGTCGAGGCCGCCGCTGCACCAGACACCGCCAATCACCCACCCTCAAAACCACCCAGACAGCCCGCAATCCTCAAAAGAGTTTACATGATCGGTGACAATCCAGAAAGCGACGTCCTAGGTGCCAATAGAGCAAGCTATCAGGGCACATCCTGGTGGAGCCTCCTCGTGCGATCCGGTGTCTGGCGCGAGCCCCAGCCTACGAGAAATCCTATTGCCATAGTAGACGACGTCCTCGCCGCCGTCGACTGGGCCATGGAAAACGAGCAGAAGATTAAAGATGGCGTAGAGCTCAAGGAGTACCCCCGGGCTCCCCCGTGGTGGACCCCAGGGTGGAAGAAGGGAAAGTTCTATAAGACCAAGAGGTTTACCCCGGGTAGTGGTGAGGCGAAAGCGGGCGAGGGGAAAGGGGGGGAGAGTGCTGATTCGAAGAAGAAGAAGACGGATAAAGCTATGAAGGGGGTGAAGGGTGATGATGCTTTGGGGAAGAAGGCAGATGGAGAAGGTGGTTCCGACTCTGTTTAGACTAGCTAACTTACCCATTCTGGAGGGAGGAGAAGGCAAAGTAGTCGGGGAAAAGGAGCCATATTACCAATCGGGGTTTTGTTATTTGTATGATATATTACTCTCAACTTCATTGTAGCTTATTGTAGTAGTACCTTACGAAATCACAAAAGCAACTGTTCTGCCCTACGGAACTCGCTGTATATTGGCTTGTTTTCTAGCGTCCCCCAACACCTCACAGACCGATCACTCATTTGCTCCGGCCTAAATTACGGGAGAAAGTTAAAAGTAATTGTTCAATCTACTTGCACATCGTTATCAATTTACCGTATTCCGGTGCCTGGGCACTCCTATGTATCACAGAAAACCCCCACTCACTAGGCTCAGCACTGCATTCCCGGATATAGTGGGACACTGAGCACCACCCGCAGCGGAAACCTTGATCCCCTTCCCGGCTCCAGTTCCGACTAGGTCGATGGACGCTGCGTATTTCTTCTGAAATTCCTCCCTATATTATGGCTTGTATACCGGTAATGCGGTGCCGGGAAACTCGATACTGCTGGAACTTAGGTTTCGCCAGAACACAGGTAGACCGCTACTACTAAATGTAGCGATTCGAGCACAGGTAACTTGGGAGATGGAAAGGGGAAAGAATGAGATGTTGAAAAGTGGGTATTCAAGTTGTTAGGGGACATGCAGTTTAGGTACTGGAAATTTTTTTAGCTCAGAATTTAGAAATCAACCTCCTATCATATATCCTAGGGTGACAATATGCTGGACCTAGATCACCTCTACCGTGCTCTAAATCTTCTACTGTGAATTCCTATCATAACAATTCCAAGTCCTCCACCATCGTGTACCGGTAGTAGATTACATAAACAAAGTCCCTCCCACGCAGCGCTATTGCTTATGTAAGCTTCTTGTCCCCATGACAACCAAGCAAACTGTGTGACCCTGCCATAGACTACCTGAATTGTAGCAAGTTGGGTTGGTAACTTGAGGCTGAACGCCAAGTTTCCCCGCAAAAAGCGGTGGGCAGCTTTCAGGACTCGATGCTCAGGCACGAGATCCGCCCAATTGCTCTCTCCCTGCATCACCCCTCCTTTTCTTCCAAAAAAAACCTATCCTCTGTTTTCACTACCGTCCCTTTTCCCCGCCCCCCGTCCTTCACCGGCTATGCTGTTATCCCGCCGGCTCCCCCGCAAGCTTCCCTCTTCATTGAGACAGTTCTCTGCATCTGCCATCTTGCCGAATGTCCACAAAGTTCCTTGTATCGGTGATATATTACACAGTGATTCGTCAACAACCGATTTCAAAACGCGGGTGTCCGCTTTTCACAAACAGCTGTCCGATGCCAGAAATGCGAAGTCAAAAGCCAGCGATCTCTCTTCCCCTGGTAATGCTGAGAGAGCGGGAATCGTGAAGAGTATACTGTATGGCTCGAGGGAGGGGCAGAAGGAAGAGGCAGAGATGGAACAGAGCTACTCGAAAGTCATGGCGAGGGGGAAGTACGTGCATGCCATTGAGATCCATCACGCCAAACCGGATAGGGTTGAGGACTATGTGAAGCTGGTCGGGGGGGTATACCCAGCTATTGCGACTGATAAAGAGAACAACTGCCATCTTGTTGGGAGTTGGAAGACGGAAGTTGGCGAATGTGACACTTTTGGTGGGGTTAGCTCCTGTTTGTTGGTAAGGATACCTGCTAACCTAGAGGCCAACAGTACATATTTGGGAGTATCAAGGATGTAAACTTTCCCCAAATATCCTAGGCGCTGGATACGAGCCGGAATCGTGATACTGACTCTGGTGAAGATGCTGGTTACCACAACACGTTCTCAAGGCTCGCGGCCACTCCCACATTCCCAAAATTCCAGTCCTCGCTCGCGAAGATCATTCGTTCCCGCCGTACCGATCTCATGCAAGAGTTCTCCTTCTGGCCTACCAGTCCGCCACGTTCCCTTGGAGGAATATTCGAGCTTCGAACATACACCGTTCTTCCTGGCCATCTCTTAGAATGGGAAACGCATTGGCGCCGTGGCCTCATAGCCCGCAAAAACGTCATGGAAGGTGTCGGGGCCTGGTTCTGCCAGATAGGGTCATTGAATACAGTCCATCACTTGTGGCAGTTTGCCGACCTGCGTGAGAGACAAGTTGCCAGGGAGCAAAGCTGGGGCGAAAGAGGATGGAGTGATACGGTGCACAAGACCGTGCCCCTCATCAAAAAAATGGAAAGCCGAATCTTGGTGCCTATGAGCTGGAGCCCTCTTAGTTAGTCTGTCTCTCCGTCTCGAGCTGAAGCCAGGTCGGGTGTAAGGATTTTTGTCGAGGGATGACCAGTGTTTGTGGTTTTGGTTATTTTTATTTTTATTTCCTTTCCTTTCTTTCCTTTTCTCTTTTTACTTTTTTACCCTCTTATTTTGATTCCGGACTACTTGTAGAAGATTCTGCTTTATCGGGATTTCCTTAGGGTCTTTTTTTTTTTAACCCGTTTGACTACACTGGTTTGATTACACTACCGGTATGTTTATTACAGCGTCCGTGGGAAAAAACATCACGGTTGATCGCTTATTTTTTGTGCTCGATCTCCGGTGGTTTTCGTAAATTACCGTGTTCGACTCGTAAAGCTATCTTATCATAGCCTACCGCACAAGTCACCGAGAGGCCAATCCAGTAGCCACAGACCCCAATTACGTGTGTTGAACTGAGTAGCCCAAAAGACCCAGACTTGCTTTCGATGTGGACACCCGCCTACAGACTGGCCTTGCGTTTTCCAAACTTCTATCCTCCCTTCTCTCCCTTTTCCTTTCCCCTTCTCTTTCCCTATTCCAACCATCTTGCCGGTTCAATCCTTCAACAGGGAGGGGATCGGATGGTAGCGGAACGTGGCCCAAGCCGAGGATGATACGCAGGATCGGACTGCAGGCTGCGGCCAACTTGTGAGATCTGATATGTTAGGGCCCGCTAGTGTGGTCGAGGTTATTCCGACGACAGCCCTCCGTCTCTACCCACATACCCGGCCATCCACGAATCCTCAAGGACGGGGATAACGTTTAGGTGAGTTTGACTGTTCACTTCAAAGGGTGAGGGGCTATGAATGCAGGTACCGGATTGACCTAACTCTTCACGGGGCAGGTTATATATACAGTATTTGTGAATATTGTTTGCTATAGGGTATCATAGAACGCCCCCACCCCCATCTCTACGGCACCGGTACTCCACAGGCAAAATCCCATCCCCGACTCCTCATGAAAATAGCAACGAGCAGAAGAAAAAAAGGCGGGGAGCGAAAAAAAAAAAGCCTTTACATGAGGAGAGAAGAGGCTATCTAAACTAGCTTTCCAAATATTCCTACCCGAGGTGAAGAGCTGATAATGAGGGTAGGTAGAATGATGGTGAGAAGATACACAGTATCTTGACTAAAATAAATGGTCTGAAAGGAAAAATGGGAGATAGGCCCTCAGGCAGGCTGGGGAAAGGCTCAAGCCTAAGAAGTGAACTGAAAATACCGGTAAAAATATAAAGTATGCGCCCGAACGTAAGTGCCCTCTCCCCATGCGACGATCTAAGAAAAATAACAATAGATGAACGGAAGTTCAAAGTGATATAGAAGTGAAAGGAATTGTGTTGACACGTCTTTCATTTAGAACGCATGGACACTTTCTTGCCATGTCGCATCCTCCCTGTCGTCGTCCATCGCTCCGCCAAAAAAAAAAGCAACAAACATAGTCATAATCGTAAAGAGTGAGATAGAAGTGTTGGTTTTTCCCCATCGAGGAGAAGAACAAAACTAGAAGAGTCCGACAACAGCTGCGACGATCGCGGCGCCCGCGAGGCCAGATGAGAACCTGAGGGTACCGGCAGCGGCGCCGGTAAAAGGTGGTTCAGTAGCGGTTGGCTTCGCTGGTGAGCTGACAGAGCTAATAATGGTGCTATTTGTAACAATTATGCTACCGGTTCCACTGCTAATTGTGAGTGGATGGTTGACCAAAATCAGGAAAATATCAGGGGGAACCTACGTTGACCCCGCTGGAGGGCTGCCAGTCATGGTAACATAAGTGACCAGGGTGGAATATACAGTGCTGCGAACGGTAGTGGTGGAGGCGGTGCCGGGGGTTTCTGCAAGTGCAAGAAGAGGCATGAGAGCCACGAAGAGGAAAGCGATGAAGCGTTGGAAGAGCATTGCGAATCGGGGTCCCGGCGAGAGGTGTGTTTTCTTGAAGGAAAGTTTGCTAGGATCGGCAGAAGGTATTAATGAACGAATAGTGACAAACTCCAGGCGCGAGACCTATGCGCGACAGTGAACGAAGACACGGCGACGGCGGCGTTACTCAGTACGCAGGGTTTCCCTTGGCTTAAGGACGAAGGTGAAACGATTGAAACTTCCGAAGAGTGGGTGGGAGACGAGTGAGTGTGAGTGAATGACTGAATGAGTGTTGGACCACGATGCAAAGATGGTGGTATAGGCTTAAGAAGGAAGGAAACGTGAAGATGCGGAAACGGACGAAGACGGAAGCGAGCAGAAACTCTGGGGGAGCCAGGGGCTACTTAAGCTTAAGGAACGACGATGGGCGAAAATTTTTCGAAATGAGCGCTGTCTCGGATTGGCGTGTCTGGAACTGGCGTGTCGAGCCTGAGCCATAGCGCACGCCGCAAGGTACCGGGCTAAGTGCAGCAAACGAACAGGGAACAGGGTGCCAACAGCGGGCTAGGCTAAGTGCGTTGGCCGCTGCAGTTACCCAGGTCTATGGACGGGATTGACAGGATGGGATGCTAAGGGTTACCACCAGCACAGGAAAGAGGAAGGTTTTTAATAGGGCCAAGGAGGGCAAATAGGGGCAATGTTGGAACAAATAAAGGCAACGATTTACCTAAAAGAGAGACGGCAGCCGGTGTCGGAAGAAAATAGTGGATGGGCGAACGGTACGAAGAGAGCGCAAAAGAAAAAAAGAGCGAGAGGAGGATGAAGATGATAATACCAGTACTCGAGTAACAACGAAAGTGATGGGTTTCGCTCATATTGCGCGCGCGACTAAAGGATGTTTGACCCTTGTGTCATCCAAGACACATTTTACCCCTTATGTCTAATTTCGGGACATTTCTGGTTAGAAAACTTTGGTTAAAGAAAAAAGGCTCCAAACAACCCGGGGTCATCTCTTTCATTTCCCGATGGGGGTGAGAAACTACCGGTACCTTTTTTCAGGGCGCACACACCAATGTACGAGTACTAGTACGGCTATTTGCCGTTCCTTGGCGAGACAAGCACCTTTGCCACACCAAGCTCTCAGAAATCTGGCTTCCGCGGTAAAACTCGTTTTGGGCTTTTGCGCGATTTCGCGACATCTTCTCCCACGGTTGGGGGAATACTCATGCAGTGCCACCGGCATTGCTATGGTTATTGAGCAACACTCTGTGGGTTCTGAGTGGCCACATGGCGTGGCAGTTTCCCCGCCGACTATGGCAGTATGTACCGGGGGAAAGATGATAGACTGATAATCGCGCAAATCATGAAAGCAGAAATTTTTACTCCGCGGATGAGAGGAAGGACCGGTACTTGTCCCAGTTGGGGGGTACCATCACGGTACTGACACCGTGAAACGGGCGGGTATATTTTGTGTTGGCGCTTGGATTCGCTTCTGACTTTCCCTCACCGTGGATGAGCATTTCTTTGATCGCTGCTTCAGGGCCCTTCTTCCCAGAGACAGGTACGATGTTTAAGGAGCGTTTTCGAAGTTGCGCTTTGAGGTTTGTCAAGTTCTGTGCGCTCCGGGCGCTCCTTGAGCCGATACGGTACGGTACTCGAGTACAGTACTGTACTGTACTGTGTCTGTACCGGTAATCGAGGATTGCGCGACGCTCTCTGAAATGGTGGGGACTCCTGGTGTTCGTAATTTTAAGCTCGTCTAACTATACCGCATCCGGTAAACGCTATCCCTTCCCGAGCTGTTTTGTCTTTGACTGCGGAGATTATAGCTTATCGCAGATAGTGAATTGTACGAGTAAATACTGTACGAGCAAGTACAAGTGCGGTAGCTTAATCGAAATCTAATATTTATTAAGTTCCCTTCTATTGTTTTATTCTCTACACCGGTATTCTAGTCCACAACCATTGATTTGTATTTGGGATTGGTGTTGTTGCTCAGGAGTCTCCGTAATCCAATGATTGGTCATTTTGGGGGGCCAAAGTACTCGTAAGGTGCGGTATCATACTCGAGTATGTTGATTTCAGGAGTCCCCCACGATACCGGTGCCGGTACCACCCTGTGACTGCTATCATACCTTGCCTCTTCATCTCTTCCTCTTTCGCAGAAGCTCGGTAGCCCCGATTATTAGCACACTAGATTACCTAAAGTAACAAATCCCGCGACTGGCAAACATAATTTAATACAGTAACTCGAGCCACTGAACTGGAAAAAAGGACTCTTCAAGTGCGGTACGCAAGTACTGTACCGGTACCGTGTCGAATGGATCACATCATAACGGGATTATGACAGAGCCCACTTCGATAACGGGCCGCATGGGCATAAATACCAGTACTCGAGCAATGTAACTTAATCCTCTGGTACGAATTCTTCGCGAAAGCTATGGCCAGCTCGGTTCTCTGGTGGGACGCAACCTTACGGCGCTGCCGCAAAGGAGGTTGGTTATAGCACGGATAAGTTATCAATCGAGCATGGGGCTCGGGAAATTGGATTGAAAGGGGGAATCGGCCGGGTCGCTACAGTTGCAGCGTGGTATTTTTGTACGTCGTGAGTCGTGGGTGTGGTTGTGTGAAGTTTGGTGCGATATGGGGAGCGCCGGGAGTACTCGAGTACAGTAGAATACCGGTATTGGTATATTTAGCAACTCCTGAAGGTGAAAATTGAGGGCTGTTTGGATTCTTGTGAAGATCGTACGGCTGAATTTCGAGTGATTTAGCTGTGTACGAGTACATTACAAGTACTGTGCTCTATCGTTTGAGCCCTCTGGCACTCGAGTTCTCCGGTATTTTTTTTCTTTTTCTATCATGCAGAGAGGCGGGCTGCTGGAAGACTTTTCCCATCCCCCTTCCCAGAGAAGGAAATTTTGGACTACCAATTACTGTACTAGTACGCGGTCCAACTGCTTGAGATTCTGCGGTAAATGGTGATATTTCTCGGTCAGAAATGCCCTCCTCAGCTCAGAAGGAATACCCCGCCCGAATGGTAGGCATCCGCAACTCCGGTATCTTATCAAGCTCCCCATACGCTTCGAATGCTCTGGCACATCACACGAGCTCGGAGGTCTTTGATTTGATCGTCGCACATGCTAACGACCTGATTACTGGTGCTTGCACCATTCTCACCAACTGGGCAGCGCATCCTTGAGAAGAGTCATCGAGATTTTTGGATACGCAGGTATCGCGTGATGCAGTGAACAAATACCGTAGCGATACAAATGCAATGCTGGCCGTATTCAGGGCATATGATATCCGGGCTGGTCGATCGTTTTGGGGCGGATAACCGGGAGGCAGAATGGGCAGGGAGGGAAGGTCTTCGAGGAAACGGCTTAAGAGGCTTCAAAAAAAAAATTCCCCCTCCGGAGTCCTTTGGCGACACGGAATTAGGAGTAGAGGGGGTGAGGGAGGAATAGGAGCGCCTACTCAGCATTTCCCTGGAACCTTCCAGCCACCAAACACGATGCGCGCGCCCGCAGCTGGGGCGGGGCGGGGGACGGGGGTGAATCTTATCTCGACAATGTCTGTCCAAGTAACGGTTAGCGACCGTCAATGCCAAGCGCTGGTTCAGCACGAAGACCGATTGATAAACTGGAATTCCGGGAAAATACCCCAATAAAATTATGCCGGTATGATATTGCTTCTCGTCGGAGGCGCAGGGCGCTACGGTATACAGTTCTGTAACCTCATCAACATTGGAAGCGATGAGCGAGGATACTCGTAAAGGTCGGCTCGAAGACACCATCCTCAGTTTTCCTGAGGAGGGGGGTGCCAGTATGGTACTGTGCTAGTACGAGTACCGGTACTCGGGGTAAGGGTAGCGCATTGGGACAAGCTAGGGTGTCTGTATCTGCGTGTTAATATCTGTGCAACTTGTTCTGAGAAAAGAATTATGTGCTATTATAGGTTAGTATTGCCTACTAACATATGGTCGGTACAACTAGACTACTATTCTTGTTACTCGAGTATAGGACAGAAAAGAACTAGTATGCTTTTGGGATAACTACTGGTATGATGTAGAGCAATCCTCGTACTGTTCTTCCCTTTTGCTGTTGACACGCAGACATTTGCATAGATAATATACACCCTTGCTTGTCCCAATGCTATACCCCTACCCGGGTACTCGTACTGGTATAGTGCCGGAAAAGTACGGTACTCGGGTATATTATTCACATATCAGCATTCGTAAGGTTCTCATACCCGCCCTCTTGAAAAACCCTTCTCTTTCTCATCATTCAGCAAAGCAGATGGTGACAAATTCCTACAATGCCCCTAGAGGCACACCCGAAAAGGGGTTTTGTATCATACTGTATAGTAATAGTACAAGGTTCTCTCCTCCAGTTCTTGATAGAGCATACCGGTAGTCCCCGAGGTGCCAAGAAGGGCATGAGGACCTGATGGACATGGCTGCGCATCTGTACTACTGTAGTACAGTATTGTACCGGGCACTCCCGGCAACTTATTGCAATTGAACGAATAAAGCAGGTCCCGATAATTTAACACTGCCTGCCCAACTTAGAGAGAGCATTATCCGGCTAGCACTTCTCAAAGTAATTCCCCTTCTCTCGTCAAGGCGCCAATCAAAAATCTGTTCGTGGTCGCAGCATGATCCCGCACATATCTGGAATCAGTTGCTCGCCCAATATGGGTAAAAGAGGTTCCACTAGACTTAGTGCGATCAAGGAGGGTGGTTCCAGGCTCCCTGGTTAAAATACTAGTAGAGGACTTCACCTCCAGCCCAACGGGCTTGTGGACCTTATCCAAGATGGACCTTGCGCACCGGTGTACAAGTACGAGTACTGCTCTACTCTTGCCGGTATTTTGTGGTTGGCGGGGTTAAAAGTGTGCCTGAACCTAGCGGCATCGGTGGCACAATTCGCTCCGTGTTGGTCTACCTCGTGGATCTCATCGACGACTCCTTTAACGGTATCAAGAAAATCAGCGATACCGATCTCCGGCTTCTCGTTTGCTGGGTCTATCCTTTCTGTTACGTTATCGACTCCATTGACTCGCATTGTGCCTCTGGGTTGAGTCCAACGGGCCACAGGGAGACCCAATCGGGCCACGGCCCGACCAATAGCCATCGCCTCCTGGGCCTTCCTGCTGGAGCACGAGATTCGTGGACATCGCATACCCAACACTCGAGCAGACTTCCAACAAATCGAACCTTCCATCACATTCTGACACTACGGTAGAGCGGATGGTAGAAGCTAGGCACGATATCCGAAGGGCAGAGAGCCCCTCGTTAGGCACGTGATCGGGAATCTTGAGCAGGTTTGTGTCACTGATGACTTTGTTGGCTCTTGAAGTGCCTCGTGCCGTGCCGATGTGGCTTGCATCGGTATGGAGGCTTGTGTCCACAACCCTAATGTAGTCTCCGAGTACGGGAATATTCAGCTTACCCGCCGAGAAAGTCTTTTACACATATTTCAGTCACCGGTGGGATGCGAATATTGGTAGAAAAAGAACTGGAAAGAAAAATCGGATGGTGAATTTATGATCCCCGTATAATGCGGCCTATTCCAGCTTGGCGAGGTTCCCATATTAGTACAGTACCCGCACAGGAGGTAGGCGCCACAAGTATCACTCGACAAGCCTGGCAGCAGAGGTATGGCAATAATCGCGACTGGAGAAGCATGCGGCGCCGGAACATATTATGCCGGTATTGTACTATACTGTGGGGCAGTGCACCGAATATGTATGACCAGCAAAGTAGGGAATTCCATTACGGTATGATAGCCCGGGGGATTTTGGAACTAGCAGCTCTACCACCCCCCGATCCTACCTAACCCAAAATCCCCACAACTTCATGACAGAAAATCTCATCTTTCAATTGCAAAATCCAATTTCGCCCTCACCAGCACGTTCCTTGGCACCGGGCCGCGTCCCCCCGCCCCGCGTTGGGGAAAGTCACTCCCCATGATAAGCGTGAAAATCTTACCCCCAAACCCTTTGCACCGGTAATCCGGAGATCATTCTTTGTCTCAGTAACTGTTGGTTTTAGAACTCTGTCGGCACTGTCACACTCCTTACTGTGCCAACGAAGGGATTTAATGGTTCTCCCTTCCGCCCCGGGCTTGTATTCCGTAGTGGTGGGGCCCGGATGTTTCGGCAATGTGTGTTGCCCAATCTTCCCGCAATGTTTATCTTTTTTTTTCCTTTTCCTTATCTCTCTCTCCTTGTTTGTAGAGTACAGGTATTGGATGTTTGAATGGCGTAAGTTATCTATCGTAAGGGTTTGAATCGGGTCGTAGTAGTTTATGACCGACTCTTCGGGACCGGGTGAGACGGGGAGATTTATGTATTATACCCATCAACTCGTAGACTGATCAGGACGGTAGAGTACTATACTGTGCCTGCGCTTCTAGCCCGCCATTGGAGCTTCCCTTCACCAGCATGCCGATAGATCTCCGCTATGCGCGCGCCTATTGTGTAAACTTCTGATCATGGAGGCGTAACGGACACTTTCTGAATTGGGAAACTCTATACAATGGGTGTATTTATACTGTACTATAGTAGCGGCTTTCTGTACAATGCCAGTATGGTAGTGGATTATCTGGAGACGCCACCCTCACATTTTCAGGCACTTGAACCAACAGCGCAGTTCGCCCTTGCGGTGCGAAGGATGAGGAGAAAATTAGCCTGAAAAACTCGTACCGTAACTGATTCACTTCAGACAGGCATGGCCTATCCGGCAGGTAGTCGGATCAAAATATCTGGCGCTTGTACTGAAAGTGTGTGAACACGAGATCTACTCTGGCGTGCCCGTAGAAATTCCAATGATCGGCGCACTTCCAATGTGTGTAGTCGAAAATTTCCTTCTCTGGAAAAGGGACAAGTAACACACCAGGAAGTGAGAACAGGGTCAGCCAAGAAGTACTGGTAGAAATTGTTAGACTACTTTACGAGTGGGGATGGGTGTGGGGTGGATAGTGGTATGGTTGGGTAGGTAGCCACACCTTGTGTCATCCATACGGCTAGATGCATACGAGTAGATGAATAAAAAAAAAAAAGTGACCCGATGAGCACCCGCTATGAGACATAAAAAAAAACAAAAAACACCGTACCTTACCGGAGGAGGCAATTCCAACGACGTACCACAGGGCCGATTTTGGGGGTTTCTACAAAAATGTGCCTCGGTTTCTCCCTTGCGTTGTGTCGTCTTCCGCGGTGGAGGTGCCGGTAGATCTCTGGACTACCTAATTGTACGAGTAAGTTTTGGTACTTGAGAGCACTCTTGGCGCGAGTGTTAACGCTGGTGCCAAATTGGTCCTTGGGCGGGAGGGTACCTGAGGCATTGGCTGTGACAAGTGCTGTGGGCGCTAAGTCTCGGGGAACAAGTACGGTACAAGTACCGCACCGCACAAATGATACTGTACGGATTTGGGGGCAAAAATTTGTGGCGCAACATTTTACACTAAAAATAGTGAGTTTCAAATATTCCCACTTGGCTGGAAGTAAGGTAGGGTAAACAAAATCGATAGCTTGGTGTGGGCGATTCCGTGGACTGTGGGTATCACAGGAATTATCATAGCAGAATTATTGCGTTCCACCATGAGGGCCAAGGGCTCAGGGTCTGGATTGGAATGTATGATATGATATCATATGATAGTTCCTTTCCGGCGTCCGAGCCCTAAACGAGGGGATGGAAAGAGGAGAAAACACCGCCAAGGTATTTAACATATCATACAGCTCCCCGTTACACTTCCTTGCTTATAGAGAGCTAGCCCCAATGGCCGTTCCTCCGTATCGCCAAGTGCTAGGTCCAATTGAACCGTTTCCATGTCTCTCAAAGTCTCGAGGAGCTTAAGCTAGCCTGTTTCTACGCTCATTGAAGAAATTAGGGACGTGTCTGGATCATCTTATCAGGTCACTACCATGTCCCCGCAATCCAAAATTACACTTTATTTTCCTCTTACCAGCGGGGAAGGAAGAGGACTCTCACCGCGTACCGAAAATGGGGCAACACTGGAGCGGTGGGTGGAATACAAAGGGGGGGGGGGATTTACATGCAGAACATGGCGAGGAGAAAGCCTTACCGAGAGCCAGTGCCTTGGGGAGCAAATGCCGACGCTCGAGGTCTCGAATGGGACCTTGCTAGTACCGGAGTACTCTACCGGTAACAAAAGAAACGTGGCCCCCTCCGGTTTTCCGTACAAAACACCACATCTCAATACACGTCTATCTAGCAGCAAAGAAGGATGACAAAGGTTTGGTGAAGAGATTTTCGGCAGAGAACCTAATCTAAAGATTCAGGTGGCTGAATGTTAGGCTACGGAAATTTTTCTATTATGCAAAAATGGAAAGCCTGAGTTCTGGAGGTTAAAGTATGTGTCGCGATAACTAATTTGTATGAGGTTTTGCATACCTGATTAATTTGAACAGGGGAGACGCCTGGCAGGACGTCTAGCTTTCCCCTCCCCTCAACGCGAGGTTTTATTTTGCAGGTATTTTCTCCCGTCCCAGACAAAATCGGAAAGGCGGACGTCCTGAGACATGCTTCCCATACCGTATGAACTCGGTCAATCGGATATCGGGCTGGGACGTTGGAGTTGTCTTTCCCAGTGAGATCGCGCGTCTTTTTCCTTTTATTTGTCTCACCTAAGTGCTGAATGGCAGCTATTTTTCACTGTGGTTCTCCCCTAATCCACTGGAGGAAATTCTGGACGCCTTAGCGTGATGTCCAATTGAGTGAGTTAATACGGTATTCAGGTTAATATGGGGATAAGGAAGTGGACCAACCTGTCTCTCTCCTATTATTGGGGGCTATCGATAAGAGTAGAGAAATTTGTAGCCCTGAACACTTCATGGTTGCCCCTCCATACTGTTTGGATTTAGAGGACTAGCTTTGTTGTGGTTGTTTCGGCTGGAACATTGGAAATCGCAATTTTGTGTGGGAGACCTTGGGACAATTTCTTTTATTGCCGGGGCCAGGGAATGTATTGGCTAAACTGTGATATCATAGATTCTCTTCTACTACTGGTACCACACTCAGGTGGCTTAGTACGCAGGAGTTCGGTCGTTTGGATCAACTAATTAATAAAAGCTTGGGTCGGTGAAATATCAGAGCTTTTACCGGATTTCTTCTCAGTGACTGCAATTAATAACGCCTTACGTGGTAAACGCGAAAGGCTGGATCAGGTGGCAGAGCTGCATACTCGGGTTAGCGAGGAAGCAGTTTTGGGAATATTCAGAGACCAACTGCGTTGTCTGAAAGGAGGAGAAACGTAGAGAGCACAAGCGCAGAGGGGTTCCTCATATCGGGTTCCCCCCCCCCCCAAAAAAAAGTGCACAGGGTAACAGCCGGTTCCCCTCCTATTTCGCTTCGCTCATAGTCGGGAAAAGCAAGTGTAGTGCGGAAGCAGGTGTGCAGCTACTTTTTTTATATAAGATGATAGTTTGTGGCTTAACTCTGCGGCGGCAGAAAGAGAAACACTTCTTCATTTACTCCATGAGATTCTATTGTGGAGTTCTAATTCTGTAGACTTATTGAAATAGTATAACCTCTCTATTATTCTTCTACTATGATATCATGTATAGACAATTAGTGTTTCACTTTATTTTAAAATGGGGCTACGTCACGAAATATCACCCTGTTAGAAAAAAGTCGGGTCATATTTGCTTTTCCAGACTATGAGCGAAGCGGTTCGGAGGGACAGGCTGTTAGGCTAGACACCGGGTTCAAAGCTAAGTTAGGTGTGGGTGAGTTCATGTTCTTTTTTCTTCTCCCAAACATTCTTAGCCAGACCGGGCTTGCAGAGCATTAGGTCTGAGGCGTGATGAATGAGTGGTAGACCTTAGTTACTTGTATGGCTGGGGACTGTATTATATAAAGACTGGGGTAGTGTATATGGGAGGCCCATGTGTCCAACCGCTCCTCATTCTTCGGAGTTGTCGTACGCCTCCCACACGCCCCTAATGTTGAGATAGTGAATGAGTTGAGTGTCATGTATTATATAGGTCAGCATCCTCACAGCCGTATTAAATTGACTCCGGATTGCGCTATTAGATCACGCTCTAGCTCGCTCCTGGCTTGGTGAATTTTACTACATTCCAAAACACAGTTTTCTTGTTACCTGCAAGAGAAATAAAGACAAGAAAGGGGTGGGATATGTACTACTTGGACTATAGGGGTAGGTACTAAGGATGAAATAAGCCCTAAGTAGGTACGTAAAATGGCGATAAACCTTGCTATGATACCGTAAGATGCATGTATGTTTTTACTAAGCCAGAATCAATAAGCATATAAATTAAAAAAAAAAACATGTTAATTATGTACATAAGACTAACTAAGAGAATCTATTAATAGAAAAGTCATATTCTAGATGGAGAAACACTTGTACGTCTTATCCTATCATACAAAATAGTTCTCAAGTTCTAATATAGCATCATATTTTCTCAATCATCTATTCATCTATTAGAGCATGGGCCCTTTACTTAAAACCCTATTCCTACAATATTTTTTCACTTTTTTTACACTAAAAATATAGCTTTTAGCATCTGAGTTTGCATGCCCACAGGTCACTTTGTTTTTTTCAGTCTCGTACACATTTTGAACTGCTTGAACCATAAAATACAACCAAACATATTTGATATCTCATAATCCCATAGACTCTATAACTTTTGCGGCCTCTAACACCCGTTCACCAGTCCTGACCTACTTGCCTCCCGGTATCGCTTTCTCTCATATCCCGCTTCCACTCCTGGCCCAGTAAACGTCAAAACAATTACGCAGCGATACACACACTCCACACATATTGCTATCATCTATTGGTAATCAGCGAGCGCGAGGCCAGTTCTGCTTCTGGAAGGGAAACCCATCCCCGAGCATGGCTGCAGTAGTAGACAAGGAGGAGGAGGCAAGCTTTGCAAGTTGGTAGGCTTTTCTGATGGTAGTGACAATTGTTCCTGCAGAAGGAAGTACAATATGATGGATTGGGTTGATGACCCATACCTAGAATAATTAGTCCTAATACTGAGCAGAGAAAGGAGAGGACGGAGAAGGGCGCCCACCTCATGCATCCAGAATTGCTTGCAGGATACTGCAGTGATTTCTGAATTACTCCTGACGAAGTAGTAGAGATTATTAGTGTATCCTGCGCCCGCGATGGAAGTAATCCGTGTTCATTACGGGGCGGGGCGGGGCGGATTTCATATAGCACGGTAAGTGCTGTGCGACGCAGTGATTTAGCAAGCTTCTATGGTGAAAGATCAGGAGAAAATACAAGGACACATTTAACCTGACTTACCTAGTCTTCCAGGAGCGTACCCCGATAGGTCGTGTATGGCTGGGAAGGAAACTCTCCAAGATCTTGATAGGATTTGTAGGAACTGGAATTAATCTTGCACCTCATTAGGTGTATGTGAGTCTGCACTGAGTACCCAAGCATTCTTATCCTGCGTAGCTGTATTACCAACAGGGTTCCGAATAGTCCGACTGGTCAAGTCTTGGAGGCAAGACCAGGCTGGCCAGTCCTGGTGATGTCAATGACTGGACCTGACTAACTCGGGTGGTCCGAGCCGGTCCGGGCTTGGTCCTAGACCAGTCTTCATAAAAGATTGCATAGTCATGTAATATCACTCACTTAGTGCACTGAAAGAATTTGATACTCGTGAATTTATTTTCACTGCCCCTAATCTAAGTAAGGTATTATCACTACTCCAATTCTCCCAAGAATATTTAGCATAATCCATGGAAACAAGGAGTTTAATTAAGAAAATCTTTATTTGAATATAATCTAAGGTAATAAAAATAGTGAAAATCGGAATCTGGGTTAAAGGGCCGTGCATATTCTATTCTTGGCAGGCTTGGTCGGACCAGTCCTGACCAAGTCAGTTCCGATTATTCTGACCATCCAGTCGGTCTAATTTCCACCATTGGACTAGACCTGACTTTCGACTGGACTAGCTGGTCCAGGCCCGTCTTCCGCGAACCATTCGGAACGCTGATTACCAACATACCTGCTCTAGCGGGCTACCGCGCATCAGCCGCATCCTTAAAAGACCGCGTAAGCCGGGTCTGTTGTGTTACGGTCTTTTCTCCCCAACTTTTTCATCCAAGAGGTTTCCTGAATCACTTGCCGTGGCAACAACAGGTGTACTCTATAGGATATTGCGACTTTCCCACCGTCATCAAATCCGCAAGTCCTTCCCCATCAGCTCACGAACCAATGGATAACCTGGATGCCACTCTGGGGCATCATAGTAGCCCGCAAGATTCCCACACTCCAGTACTCTACCCTACTCCCCATGCGATTCCTACCTCCCTCGAGCTACGGGCAGAAGGATCTACGAACCGTAGCCCACAAGCTCTGCCGTTGGTGCATTTCTTGCAGAACGTGGACCCCGAATGGCGCGATTTGCAGGAGAATCGCGAAGAGGAACTGGAAACCATGTTGTATGGCAGGGTCCAGGAACTCGAAGAGAAGTGGTTTCGACGGTACAGTGATAGAGTTAAGGAGAGTGAGGAGAAAAGTATGCAAATTTTCGACCTTCAGGTTCGGTTTACCATACTCTGATGTTTCTGCTTTTGCTGATTTTTTGATAGGGTTTAGTTCGGGATGCAAACGCCAGATATCTGAAGTTGTCCGGTTATCTGAACCTCCGTGGAGCATTAGGTGAACATTGGCAATTCTAAACTATTGAAGTGTTACTAGTATCCAGGTGCAGAGCGAATTGTAGAGCATGCAAAGGAGCTTAAGAAGCTTCCGGGAAAATGCCCTTCTGGAACCCAGGCTGCACTAGACATACTAGCGACCACACAAGCATTTAAAAAAATCCTGGAAATGGAAATCAAAGGTCGCAAACTGGTCGGGAGAGACGTCAAACGCTGTATCCCCCTAGTGTACCACGAGTGCTCCAAGCACGCCCACGGAAATACTGGTATGATCACGGTTGACCATGGCGATCGTACACGATCTGAATGCGCTGTACTAGTGGCGTTTTTGAAGCTCCAGGATGGCTGGACGGGTGGGTTAAAGTGGAAAGAAGCAGACGGGGACACAGAACCGGGGCACTAAGCTCAGCTGTGGGGGATCAGGGGTTACGGGGCTGCAAAGTGGGTGGCTGTTTGTGATACCAATGTAAAAAGATTTCCTGTTACTCGTAGTTTTTTTCAGAATGTCTGCTTCCAAGTTGCTTTCCAGTGAATCTCACATTGTGTCCACAAACAACCTACTAAGAGGATGTCTAAAGATATTACCTCAAACGAGAGAGATGTACATAGTCACTGGCCTTTCTGAGTGACGCTTCCTAATTTTATGCTGAATGTGCGGGCTTTTATCAACAAATAGCCGGGTCCCGGGAGGCTTTTGCAGGAGTTCGTGTTGTAAGTCAAGAAGCTTCGCTCTTTGTTCTGCTACAAATTCATTTGCTGTATTGATGCATATGAGCATAGAATTTCTAGAGGAGGTAGCTTGCAGCATCTTCACATTATCAAAAAGATGGGGTCTTGCTCTATCAAAAAACTTTTTTTTGTATCGACAAACTTGCACTATATCCCGCAGTACCTCTCCCAGTCAGCCAGCCTGAAGCCTGTTTAAGCAGGGTGCCCAACCTTACCGATCATAATCGGTCCTTCTGGGCAGTGAAGTCAAAGTAAAAGCAGGGTACAGCTATGTTTTTCCTTCTGGCCGGACAGTGCAGGCTTTTCAAGACCATTGAGGTAACGCCACAGGTGGTCAGCATCCGTCCCACTCTCTCCCTCACCCGAGGTTCGCCGTTGAGACCCAATGAAAGCCTCCCGCACATCCGAATCCCTATAGCTAAACAGGACTGTATCACCAGATTTACCTCCACTACAGCTAGCGCGGCAGTGGCTAAATAGCTCGGTTAGGAAGTACCATCCCCCCCACATTTTGGACTCAACAGTCTCGGCAATTTCAAATGCTCCAGTGCACTTGCCTAGGCTCCGGCACTGATAACCAGGTTAAGATTGAAGCCCGTCATTAGCGGTGCTATGGTTATTTCATACGCGAGGGGCCAAGTACAGTGAGTTGATATAATTCTGGAAAGGTAGAGATATTTTCTGTTTTTTTTGCTTCGGATATTTTTAGCAATAGATGATGAAGTTGGTCTGCTGCTAGAATTTCTATGGAAAAAAACAAGCGAGTTTTTGTAAAACCTCATGAATTTCACAGCACCACCTGATCTATCTCCCTCTAATTTTGCCCCAATACCCACTTCGCTAATAACTACCTAGTGCCACATCTCACTGAGCTGTAACCTCCAACAGGGCACAAATATCGCCTTCCCAGAGACCAAGACCCAAGAGCACCTCCGATGGGATCACTCCACTTGGCATACAGCTCAGTGCATCAAGCCTTATGAAAGAATTTATGGAAAAATAAACCCATCGCCCCACATACAGCAGAGCAGCAGTGCGCTTTCTAATGTCAGCACGGGCTCAAAGTGGAGAAATCTGGACATCCTAGTCTCAGCCTCAATTTCCACCTAAGTTCCTGGCACAACCGCACTCTCTGCCCCAGAAAGCCAAGATCTAAAGAACCAGTCTTGGACAGAAGCGGTCCTACACAGGTGGCCATCGGTTTGAAAAACAGGGTTTGGAACCCCTCTTCCATAGTGGTTTTCTTCACAGCTGGCTTCCTTAGGAGAAACACCACCGAATTGGCTGCTGGTTACCTATGGCATGATTTCCAAGTGGCTCCGGTGGGGAGTAAAAATTGCTGGACCTGGACAGAGATCTGGTGGGCTCGGGGCGAGCGCAAACATAGTAAGGTTGGTTGGAGGACAAATTTTACACACGTAGGTAGAACCAGGTGACCCAGAAGGTGCCCCAAGATATCCAGTGGCTGATGGAAAAATGTAGAACTTTCTTGCAGTTTTGCTGACTGCTAATGTGATCCAATGAGAAATGACAATAAGTTAGAGATGACCGCAGCTAAATGGCAGGCAGGGTAGCATGGGGTTGGAAGATACTTAGAGTCGAGCATGGGATTGGGGAAAGCTACATGCTGGCCAAAAGTGATGCTTGGTATTACTATGATGCCAATGTATGTCTATCACGAAGAGAGGCTTTCTGTCAGGGTAATGAATTTGCCTGTCCTGCTGGATGAAGATTTAGGGGCAAGATATGAATTGAGACAAGATTCCTTCAATAGGGACATCGTTAGCCTGTTTCCAGGGACTTATTGCTGTACTCAAGTCGACGGAATGAAGTCGCGTTTCCTTTCGGGGTATAATGCATCTTGGCGTAGCAATGGGGTTAGTTTCATAGGCAGCATTCAATGTACCGGATGCGAGTATCATAAAGTACTGAAGATGGGTCAGACATTTGCAAAAGAGTCGCTATCTCATACGGTATGCTCTTTCATGTTTTGCAGGCTCATGGCTAATAAAATAATAAATATATGAAAATGAATTATAAGAAGAGAAGGAGTGTGATCACTGTTTTCAAAAGGAAATCGATGACAAGACTTGGCTTGTCCAGCACTTCAAATTTTGCTTACGAAACAGCACCCATTACCATGCCAAGATACATTATACTTCAAACGGAAACGCGACTTCAATCCGGCGACTTGAGTAGAGAAGCGGGCTTTGGCTATCCTACTCGCGCGTCTTTGCCAAGAATAAATCCAGGTAATAATTTTTGGTAATGAACTTGCCATTTTCTCATGAAAATTGGTTACTCAGCAGTATTCTGGGAAAAGGCACACAAGTACCAGATCATGTGAGAAGGGCTGAACATGTAATTCGCTTGTAGCACTGTGGTCTTATTGTATATGTAAGCCGCGCTAAATCTGTGACTGTGTTTTCTTCAGGACTCCCACCAAGCTGTCACCCCAGGCTTTCGAAACCACTCCTCGTCAACAACGACCCTGCCAAACACCACACCATCACTTTTCTCTTCCTATCAAATCCTTATTCTTCGTCCTACGTTCTAGCTCATCCAAATATACACAATCTGGATACGATGTCCGAGCAGCCCCAGGCTTCCGACGATGTGCAGGCTACGGCACTAAATCCGATTTTGAATCCGATTGGTACACATTGGGATGCTCCCGGCGGAGCGGGTGGAAGTCCCAGTTGGCCCATTCCCATGCCGCATGTTGGACCAGAGAGCCAGCAACTTCAGGAAATGGATGCTAGATGGTCACTGCGTTTTAAGCATCTGACTCAATGGTCTGAGGCCGAAAGTTTTCTCCGGTGCCAGGAGTGTGAGTCACGGTGGTTCCAACGCTGGGACGGCAAAAAACGTGAGATTCAGGAGAATGCAGCTGAAATGGCGGGCCTTATTGTTGAGTTCTCACGTCCAGCTTTTCTATTATGTCTAACAGGTGCTTAGGCAACACTCTTGCATGAGAAAGCTGAGAGGATGAAATTGGAACACAAATTCAACCTCTATGGGGCTTTGGGTAATAGTCACAAGCTCCATCTATTAGGTTACTACTAATACTGGGATGCAGAACTTATTGTGTGCCATGCGAGACTTACCGGGAAAATCGGATGGAACCTGCTGTCCGGGATCCAGGATGGCATCGATGAACTCGCAAAGACACCTGCATTGGTTGCCGCACTTCGGGATGAAACAGTGGCCTACCAGCTTGCACCCCAAGATGTTACTCAATGTATCGGGTGTATCCATCACACGGTTTCCAACCACAACAATGGTAATGATCACGTCATTACTCTTTACGAGGACGATTATACTAGGGAGGAATGTGCTGTGCTGGCTGCTTTCTTGGAGGTCCAGAGAGATTGGCCCGATGGCTTCGCGTGGAAGAGAATGAAAAGGAGACAACAAATCCGACGCTGAGGGGGCTGCTGTGTTTTACCTGTGTCACGATTTGCTTCTGTCAGTAATGATGTGTCTCCTGCTGTGGGAGAATCAAAAGGACAGCTCTGTGAAGTTAATTGTTCTTTGTAGTGATCGGGAGATAGAGGCTTACATACAGGGTGGTGACTTCCACACACAATTGAACTGTTTTCTTGAAATTGTTTGTACTCATGGTATTTTGCCATGTTAATAACCACATATCCATAGAAAGCCTTTTGAAAGGAAATAGGACTAGCATTACCTGTATTAATGTCGATAAATTTGCTCTTTCCAACAGCCCACGCGGTACACCGGTCCTTGGCATTGATCGGATTGATGCATATGTTGCGGAGGTAGAAGGTTGTGATATCGGGCTGAGAAACCGTACGGGTTATACGCCGCTTCAGCGGGCTGCTGGTAGTGGGATCGAGGCAGTGGTAGAATTATTATCCAGCCGCACCCGCATCGGACTAGACAAGTGCAGTGAAGATGGCCAAGCACTACTGATGCTGGCTGTTTGCTAGGCAGGTGATGGGAATGGAAGAATGCTACCCAAAAAGCATGCTACCAACCCGGTAAGTAAGATGGTGATACCTAAACACCACTCTTTCTAACCACCCGTAGCAGGCACTAGGGAGCGTTGAAAATTCTACTCATGCATGTTGAAATGTTCAAAACCCCCACAAGTTGCATATCTAAGAGTAAAACTCGCATACCAACTGGTTAGTTAAGGACAAGTTGGTCAAGGGGTAGTGACGAGGTAAGAGCGTTAAAACATGGTGTGTATGGCTGAGAAGTGGGGTTCGGGGGGTATAATAGAGCCAATAGTTTAGGGATTAGAATAGACGGGGGATGGGCGGTTGGTTGTGGAGTGCTAAAGATTTCATTAAACGGAGAGCGATTGGTTCATAGTCTCCTAAACCTAGAGGAGCGGCAGGAAAAGTTATGTTTGAATTTTCTCGACCAATCACCAGTGATCAACACCCCAAGCTCAAGCTTTAGGCTCTCATCACTGCTAGTGGCACACCTTAAGCTCTTATATCTTAAACATAATTTTATGTCGGATTCTGCACCTCTATCACCACCTACCGGTACCAGTGGCCGCCCTAGCAACGTGCCATTCCCACTTTTGCAGTGCATGTTGTAAGTGGTTCTATTTTCATCTCACCGGGAAACTGTTAAATCAGCTCATCCACCGCAATCCCATGATGTCTGCCTTGTTTACAGTGATGTTATGAAGCTTTCTTCCCACACTTGAGTCCCCTTGATTCTCAAGAAATATGAGTATATACAGTGAGGGTAGCAGCCCAACGCGTCCGTAAACCCCCAAGAACAAAGTATCAGCAACACTCTTCACCCCCCTCCCACCTCCTACGCATTGTCGCTGCCCTAAGCAAACCCGTTCCCTCTACCCAGATAGGCGACCCTCCCCCCACTCTATTGCTTATAAACCTCCACCAATCCCAGCTAGGGTAAGGAAATTTACACAAATTATAGTTCTGGACTTCTATACTGTGCACCAAATAATTTGGAACAGGGGACACTTTAGGGTTCAACCCCTAATTCAAAGAAGTATGGATATGTTCAATCCCCCAATACTGCATGGTTATTTTTGATATGTTGAACTTGAAGCTATACAAGGGAGGATTAGGAGATCATATAATACTTGTAGAATAGAATATAATGTTTGTTTTAATTTCCTTCTACACTGATAGAAAATAATATCCTGCAAATACAAATGATTCAAAACTGTTTTATCTTGTACTTGTAACTTTTAAGCCCACCATAGCAGATTCTAATATTTCCACAATAAAAGTAAGGAAGTCCTTCAGTGTAATCGGAGCTGGTGCTCGGTAAGTTAGTTTTATGTTTTGTTTTAAGTATCGGTTGATACTTAGTTTGTTTTATGTTTTGTTTTAAGTATCAGTTGATACTTAGTTTGTTTTATGTTTTGTTTTAAGTATCGGTTGATACTTGGTTATTTTTATGCTTTGATTGAGTAAGAACATGAGTGAGAATTCATGATCGTACGCAAACACATGTACTTACTAAATAGACCGCCAAATTCCTTGATAGAAACGGCAGACTTTGACAGACAGTATTACTTAATATACTCGGTTGAATGGTTATCTTTATTCTCCTATTACACCATCGAAGCCTTCCTTAGTGAGCCACTCTTGCCGTCTCTGGCAGACCGACGAGTAACTCCTATTGTACCAGACGACGTGACTAGCACCCCGGTGCGAACATGTTACATTTTTTTAACCTCAACAAGTGGTTAAGATACGACGAATCAGGGCCTGATCAACCCACGAGGATTCAGCAACAAACAGTACTGGCAGAAGCGGGAAACCATGACGGTCGGCTCCTGCCATAACAGAAGAGCGATATAGATCCTCTTACAACTGGAAGTGGGCATGAAATCCCACGAGAAGGCCTGACCCAAAGGACGGGAAAGAAACCAGGCACCGCCACAACACCTGGCGAATTTCCAGAATCACCAGCGAAAGAATGCAAGCCACTGCCACCCCCCCCAAGTAGCAGTAGCGAATCAGAAGACAAAAACATGTTTGGACAAGGTACCCCAGTGCCCACCCAACCACCAGCACCACCCACTCCACCGGCAGAGCAGCCTATACCAAAGCCTATGATAAAACTTCCACAACCTAAGACATTCTCCAGAAAAGGGGAAGATCTTAGACCAGAAGCATTCGCATATTGGCTCGTAATGGTACGACAATACTGGACAACGTACACAATCGACTTTAAGGACTATGGCTCAGGAATCTACCTTGGAGCCTTTTACACAGATGATGCAACGGAAGCATACCAACAATGTATCACAGAATACTGAGAATTAGATAGAGGATGAACAATAACAATTGCCAACTTCCTGCAAGCACAATTTCAATTATCCCGCAACAAAGACAAGATATTTGAAAAATTCAATGCCATCCAATAAATCAATGGAGGAAGGACTGACAAAATAACGAAAACGGTAACAATGCTCCTTATATACTATAGTTGGCTACCAGCTGGAATGGTTGCAACATACACACTTAAGAAATGATTCTATGAAAGCATGCACCACAAATTACGACAAGTAGTAGAACCACACGAGGTAGTGACCGACGATATCCATGCAATAATCGCAAGAGCAGAAAGACATAATGCTATTTTATGGGACACCAATGCCTATAAAACACATGAACCTAAAAAGGATAAGGGACAACCGTATAGTACTACGAAGAAACAGACAACGAAAAGAAGTACAAACTCGAAGAACAACCAGAGACAGCGACAGCAAAGAGAAAACAATGATTGTTTCAAATGTGGAAAAAAAGGGCACTTCGCTAAAGATTGCGATTCACGAAAACCTGAGGGCAACCCCATAAAGAAGGAAGCTACTACTAACTGCCTTGAAGAAGAACAAGAAGATTATCTCGAAGAAGTACACATCAACTTAGTAACGGCGACCATTGACTGTTATAAAACCAGCCTAGCAAATGTAAGGATAGTTCCGTTCCAATCCCTGGAGGCAACGGTAGAGATCAATGGGTTCCCAGCAAGAGTCCTGTTTGACACTGGTACAATAGGATCCGACATCCTCAGTAATACATTCGTTGCCAGACATGGCATAAAGGCACAACCCACGAAATATCCAGTAATACTCAACATGGCTATGAAAGGATTGCGGTTAACAAGAGACCATCAGACAACCGCCACGGAACAAATAGGGAAAGTAAAGTTTATAAACAACCCGATGCTAATTGCAAACATTGCAAAATACAATGCATTACTCGGAATGCCATTCATGACATGCCACAAAGCAACCATAGGCTGCAGAGACAGGACAATCACCTTCCCGAAGCAAAAGGTAAAGGTTTCCTGTAAGCCAACAAGTGGGGAATACAGAATGGCAAAAACGGAAACTGGAAACATCATAATGGAAGAATATAGAGATGTATTTCCAGACGAGATACTGGATGGGCTACCACCATTACAAAAATCAACCATAGAGTACGACTAATCCTGGGATCGCAACCCAAGGACGAGTCTACCTACTCAATACCAGAAGCATACAAATCAAAACTGCATGAATGGATCTAGACAAAAAATTAAGCAAGGAGTCCTCCACTATGCAGCAGTAACAGGAGTGGCCCCCCTGTTCATACAACCAAAGAAGGATGGGGTAGGCATCAGGCTCCTGGTCGACCTTAAGCAACGAAATGATATGATTATAAAAGATACACCTTCAATACCCCGACAACAGGACATCCTGCATGGGGTTGGAAGAAAAAAGTACAGGAGTAAGATTGACCTCCGCAATGTGTATTTCCAGACAAGGGTGGAACCTGAGAATGAGGAAAATAATTTGCTCAAATCACCATTTGGAACCATGATAAGTAAAGTAATGCTTCAAGGAGACAAAAATGTGCCTGCCACGTTCATGCGACTTATGGAAAACCTATTAGGAGAATACCTCCATGAATTGGTTTGGGTATACATTAATGATATCCTAATATTTTTAGATACTGCGGAAGAACATGTGGAACACTTACGATTAGTCTATGAGAAACTACGCCAAGCGCAGCATTACGCAAGCAAGAAAAAGTCCGACTTGTTTGCAAAGGAACTCGACATACTTGGGCATATTATTGATGACAACGGAATCCATGCAGCCCCTGAGAAAATATGAACCTTAGACGAGTGGACTACCACAGCAAATAAAAAGGAGCTCTAGCACTTCTTAGGATGACTAAATGATGTGACGTAATTCCTACCCCACCACGTCACCCTTGCCACCCCCCTTACGGACCTAATGGGAAGCACTGAGTGGGTATGGACATGCACACATGACCAGGCATTAGACAACATTAAGCATTTACTGAGAGCACAGACCGTCATGCGACCGCTGAAAGATTTAGGGGAACTGATATAGCTCATTACCGATGCGTCAGATGTAGGGGTAGGTGCATGAGTAGGACAAGGACCCACATGCAACACGGCTCGACCAGCAATGCTCCATAGCTGAAAATTTACTAATCTACAATTGAATTAGGGTACAACCGATAAGGAAGCAGTAGCCATAGTGGATGTACTACACAGCATCAGCCACATATTGATGGGCAGAAAATTCACAATAGTCACTGACTACCGCCCATTAATATTCCTGAAACCCATGAAACAGCCTAGTAGGAAACAAATTAGATGGGTAATGGAACTCAGCAAATACGATACGAAGATAATATACCTAGAAGGAAGCAAGAACTATTTAGCTGACACCCTCTCCCGG